GCCTTAATCCATTTAAAAAAAACATTATCGCCTTACGAAACCGTACCATTGGTGAATAGAAGGAAGCCTTACTGAACGCTCATATGTCATATGAGTCGACGAAAATCGAGGTGTTTTTGCCTAATGTGTTAATATGATAGTATCGCAATTAATAAATTATTATATGCAGCAATATTTACGTTTCGGTTTTCTAGAATAACGTTTAAGTAAAAAAGCCGTTTTCAGATCATCTTAATTCCTTTCATATTAACACAGAAGTACGAGTACAATTATTAATATGATCAAATGTGTTGAATCAACATATTTTTTTAAGGTAAAAATCTTAACCCTAATTCTATCGCCTGTTTCTAAGAAAAGAGCCACGGCCCCATATTTTCCTGCCTATACAGGCAACCATTTAACAAATAACGCTATTGTAAGACTTAAACAGAGTCCTAAAACAAGGACTTGTTTCCTTCAACTCGCTGGCATGCAGCCTTTAACTATTTAAAGATTGATTGTAATAGATATCTATGAAACGCAAATCACAGACAAAAAAATCGGTATATACGCGCTTCGTTATTTATGGACGTAAAAAATTAAATACAATCGGAATTTAATTTAGAATGAAAAAAAAATGGTGGGCAACGACTTGTCTGTGCCCCTGGCATTGATGACGATTATCAATTACAATTTAGATCGACAACTCGTGGCGCCAGAGTCATGGCTAATGACTGAAATATAATATAAATTAATAACCTTATATATTTTTTTGGCATTTATCTAGATTTCATATTTCCAATATTCCAATTCCAATTATTCCATAATTCCCTTAATTCCAATTAAACAATAGAATTTAAATAGTGACGAAATGAATTCGCTTGCAATAAATTTTGCAGCGTATAAAAATTCTCATTTAAATCGCAACCTTATTATCATTTGCTAAAAATAAACTTTTAGATCTGCGCATTGAAGATAAGATACAGCGTGAAAACAGAACCTCTTCAGTGCCATTGAAACATTTTGAACAAGACGACTTACAAAATTTTACAAAAAAATTTAGTGATGAATTTTAGATATTTAGAGGCGAAATGCTTAAGTTGTTTGAGCTGAAATGCCATAATTTGATAATATAGTGTGAGAATAGTGCACAATGTAATGGCGTGGACCGTAGTATATCCCCGGAGCTATGGTGAAGCTTTTAGCGGTCAATCTCTGATATGTGAGTTAGTTACGATAAACAGATAAACTTCCAGCATCGTCACCGTCTCTCTATTCTTTCCTTTCATTACTTCTTCTTTTCTCTTTTCCTTCTTTTTTCCTGTTTTTTTGTTTTAGGTATATTATAAAATTCACTACCGGTCTGATTTTTTTAATGTTAGCAATCTATTTCCCATTAAGTATTCAAGATAAAGTTACTGATTGACAAACGTAAATTAATATGATGTTGTAACAAAAAAATACACTGTATTGAGGACTTTTTTTTATTTATTAATACTCGTAAATCATATTAAAATTATTCCAAGAAAAACCATGGGTTAATTTTACAATATGACAACATCATGTAAATGATTAATATAATTCGAGTGAATTTATATTAATAAACGATTGCGTAATAACACTCATTTAATTGTTCTAGTTGAAATTAATAACTGAATAAATTTAATTTTTATTCATTTGTGTGGATAAAATTGTATATATTATAATCTTGTGAATTATTAGAGTACTTAATTGTCACATAAATAACATTGAATCATAAAATGTCATTATGTAGACTCCTTTGAAACATAAGAACTTGGATATGAAAATAAAAGAAAACATATTTCCACTTTAAATTCGAATATTTTACTTTACCTAAAACATATACATAAAGTGTAGAATGTACGTACACGAACTACCTAATTGAAACCTCTAACTTAAAATTATAAACTATGATTGATCGATTTAATTTTTTTTAATTGTTTAAATGGCTGGACGATCTTACAGCCCATAGACATCTACAACGTATTTACGTTGTAGACATCTACAACGTAAATACGCCACCCACCTTGAGATATAAGTTCTAAGGTCTCAAGTAAAGCTATAACGGCTACCCCACCCTTCAAACCGAAACGCATTACTTCTTCATGGCAGAAATAGGTAGGGTGGTGGTACCCCCTCGACCGGGTATCCGTAAATGGATTCCCCAGCGTTAAAAAAAAAAGGGTGGTGGTACCTACCCGCGCGGACTCAAGTGGTCCTACCACCAGTAATTGCGCAAATTATAATTTTGCGGAGTTGATTTTCCTTCACCATGGAAGTCAATCGTGAACATTTGTTGAGTATGTATTTCATTAGAAAAATTGGTACCCGCCTGGTATTCGAACATCGGTGCATCGCTCAACATGGACGTCTTATTCTTTAGGCCTCGACGACTTCAATACCCTGATAAGGCAATAACGTGTGAGCGGCGATTTCCTTCGGACCAAAAGAATATACTGCAAATAACTAATGTTTCATATAATATAAAATAAATGATATTATAAAAAAAACTATTATGTTATATGAGTCGTCTATTATCAAAGGTGCCAATCTGTGCATTTGGACAAAAAAAATTTATTGATATGTCAATACAGATTTATTTGAATATAATCGTCTCCTTCAAAGAATACGGTTCAAAACCTGCATTAAATAAAGGTTAATTAATAGTTAACCTGTTATCTAACTAAGATGTCGTTCCGAAGAGTTTTGTGACTGCCAATGGAATACAAAGTCAATAATTCGTTTTTCTGATTTACCAATCATTGTCCAAAAGTCAGATTGCCGCCTTTGATAATAGTCGACTCATATGTACTACACGTATATCTGTGATCGTTTAGAATTTTATTATTCAAGATAATTCAAACGCTCGCTATTCATTCGCATTTCTATGTTTTTAGAAGTATTTAGAATTAGAATTAGAATTTGCATAAATGATAAACACTTTTTGAATAAAACCAAGCAATTTAATCATTTTCGATGGAACAAAGGACTGACATTCACAAATGAGTAGTGATTGAAATCATGGTCATGAAGTTAAACTTGAATTTGAGAAAGGAAACGTTTAATATCCTTTCCTAGTTATATTCCGCAAAACTGCATTGACTAATTACAATGATATATATTTCTAGTTTTTATTGAAGTTATACTTCTTTAGGCGCATTATGAAAAATTGATGAGAGTGAAATTGTACGATGCGCGCGCACCGTGACACAAAATTAACAGAATGAAGTTGCCCACTAAATCGCTCATTACAATACGACCGACGTAACTTGGCGAGTCTGTATATAGCCACAGGATAACTTTCCGAACCGTACCGAGAATTACCGAATTTATACGATGTCAAGAAAAGGGATGTCCAATATGTGTGTTTGATGATGTTGTTTAACCGATTTTTTTTAAAATTGAATAAAATTTAAATAAAAAATAAATAAATAAATGTAATCAAAATAAAGTATAACTTCTTACGCGCGTACATAAGTACATGCACCCTTTTTTTTAAATTAGGAATACATTGTGTGCGGAGTCGGAGCATCAATATTTTATAGCGTAGAAAAGAAATAAAAGGATTTTATTTGTGCGTAGTTATGGTGCAACGTCACAACATACGTAGTTCGTAATCTTTGTCGAAGGCAATGCGTGCAACTTTTTATAATTATATATACTTGCATTATTATTTACCACACGCAAACGATCCATTAAAACTAAATAGGTATTAAATAAAGATCTTATAAAATTTTAGCAGTTGACTTTCATAATCAACAATTAACCAATGAATAGGAAATGATATTGGCTCTTATACCTTAGAAAATTAGACAACTATTTCAGTGTTACCAGTTTTTTATTTTGCGACGAATAACATTTTAGAAGCACCACATTAATGAGCCGCTCTTGTTATGGTGGGTGCGTGTGGCCAAGTCGGCGCCACTGAACGCACGTTGCGAACTTGACCTACTTCTCCTGAGAGTTGAGAGTCTATTGTCTCAGCAGCTGACCTCGATTGACGATACGTTAGCGATTCTTCACTCCAAATTGCCTCACAGCAATGTTTCACGGTAAACATTTAATTCACACAACGGAATTTGCAATTTTTCGAAATAAAACAACAGTTACTTGGCAAATATAACAATCGGACAGTTGTATACTTTCCCAGCTTTCGTTTTGATCGTTAATATCGCGTCCCGTTACTGCGTTTGAATACGTTGCCCTACTAAACTAGATGATTTTCACTTTCCATACTTCATACAACCGTACAAATTCACATGCACTCGTATTGTGAAAATAGTTTTGGGGTTTTTACAAGTCATCGACGATAAAGTCAAAAAATTAATGTTCATTCATAGAGTTACTTATTAACTCCATGTGTTCATTTTATTTATTTATTAAAGAATCATGCAAGCGATTCCAATTAACCTCATAAATTCAATCATAAGTGTTAGGTTTAGAATTTATTTATAATAAGCGCAGAACCGCTATTTCATTAATGTTTTAAAATGTAAATTGTAGTATTTCCAGTGTATTTCGACGACGGAAACCATACATTATCAGATGAGCTGACCAAAAAAAAGACATTTTTATTAATTACTTAATCTATGTCAAAATGCCGCTAAAAACGGAAGTAAAGAGAAATGATTATATGCTTCGTATAGGTGAATTTTTTTTTTTTAAACTTGTTGATAATATATTCTACTATTTATTTTTGAAATTTATTTAAATTTAAATCTGGTGGTAGGACCTCTTGTGAGTCCGCGCGGGTAGGTACCACTACCCTGTCTATTTCTGCCGTGAAGCAGTAATGAGTTTCGGTTTGAAGGGTGGGGCAACCGTTGTAACTATACTTGAGACCTTAAAATTTATATCTCAAGGTGGATGGCGCATTTACGTTGTAGATGTCTAAAGGCTCCAGTAACCACCAAACACCAGGTGGGCGGTGAGCTCGTCCACACAACTAAGCAATAAAAAAAAATCACCAAACTAAAATGAATCTAACATTTTGATTCCAGGCATGTCATTAGACGAAGGCAGACAATCACAAAGGCCATACAGGTATGGCATGGTGTTGTTATGTGCGGGAGCGCTAATCAACTGGCTGGGTCTGGCTGAAGACTACGCGGAACCGGTGCGATATGTGGGCGTGGCGTGCATCGTCGCCGGAGCACTACTCATCTGCGCGGCGATGTGTTGCTGGCTGCAATCTCCTGCTAGGCAGCCGCAAAACGAACGGGCTTCGACTGATACACATCAGGTATTTGATTCTATTCAATAATTATATATTATATTAGCGGTAGGCAGTGGCTTGGCTCTGCCCCTGGCATTGCTGAAGACCATGGGCGACGGTAACCACAGGTGGGCTGTATGCTCGTCTGCCTACAAGGCCAATAAAAAAAAAAAAATATGGCCGATAAGTTGGGCTTAGATTTTAGATTGTCATTAACAAAATGTATTTAGTTCCTGAAGCGATCAACTCCAGTAGCTATTCATTTTCCCAAACTTTTGCAATAACCACCCAGTATTCTAAATGAAGTGTTGCGAATTTACAGAATTCAATAATTTATCATTTTTTTATTGCTTATATGGGTTGACGAGCTCACAGCCCACCTGGTGTTAAGTGGTTACTGGAGCCCATAGACATCTATGACGTAAACGCGCCACCCAACTTAAGATATAAGTTCTAAGGTCTCAAATATAGTTACAACGGCTGCCCCACCCTTCAAACCGAAACGCATTACTGCTTCACGGCAGAAATAGGCAGGGTGGTGGTGGTACCTACCCGCGCGGACTCACAAGAGGTCCTACCACCAGTAGAACCAGTCCACCAGGAACTTTACGTAAATTACAGTTAATGAAGTTATTTGAATCGTTATTCGTTTCTGATTTTAGATCGACGATCCCATTCACGTAATATCAATGCCAGACGAGGAGACGATGCAACAAAAGCCGCCAGACTACGACACTGTGGCGGGAGCACCGCCAACGTATGACGACGCCATCAAACTGAATCCAGCGCGACTGTTGCCGGCGTCGAGCAGCGCGCGCGGAGAGTCGGCCCGCAGTCCGATGCCAGGAGACGCACCTGTGATCCCAGGTCAACCTGATGACGCGCCACCGCCAGCGCCCGTGGTCGCACCAGTTCACCGCTCACAGATCCCGAAAACACCGCCGCCCCCGTACAATCCCACGCACGCGATCAGATGAAACATCGGGCGGATATCGCACTTTAAATCGACTGTTGTTTCATGTGATGAGACTTGTTACATCATATTGTCCCTAGCGACAATGCAACCGGTATTATAATGTTAATGTGCGTACATATCTTTGAAGCGATCGTTTTAATTTATAGTAGGTTATCGAGAGCGATGCGTACTTATGTGATAATATGAAAGTTGTTAGCTACTTATAACTTCTCTGTACATAAACGTTGTAATTTTAGTGATTTGTTGAAACGTGTATTTTAGTAACGTAAGCGAGAAAATCTCTTCCAATTATATTATAGTAAATTGTGTTGCGCAAGTTCTTAGACTAGAATAAACGATCGATGTTTACTTCGTTAATTTTACATATATCTGGAAAAACGTACGTAATAACATATATATTTCGACAACAGGTTCCTATAGAATTAAATACGCAATCGAGATTGGGATTCCTATAAATAGTGCCATTCATGTGAACAGTCATATTGGTCTAGTGCCGTTTTTAGTTTAAATCATGTATAGATGTAGTGAGAAATTATTTTCCTTCGGGAAAACTCGGATCTTTATCGGAATACGATGACACCCGAACTGTCAATGAATGATCGTATTAAATGACATTTTCATAGCCATTATTGTTTAGTGTCAAATGTCAAAATGAATAATGTCATTGTACTGAAGCTATTTGAGAGAGCACGATAAATACGAACTTTTCCGAAAAATTACGAAGGTAAATCTATTCTCACTATATCTTTAACACAAAGTGCTATGCACTTGGCACTCAACGACCCCTGTTAGGATTTGACGCAAACAACAAACGTATAATTGTGATTAACGAATTTATACATAGATGTCGTTTAATAATATCATAGTATGACGATAAGAGTTCAACTAAATTAATGAATAGCGTGTGATTTTAGAGTACTAGATTATTATCAGTTTTATCTATTCTAGTCTTGACTAACGCATGTTTTACTTAATAATTCCATTAAACACAGGCATGCTAATTTATATTACGCACCTAAATATTTTGAGATTGCATGCAATGAAATTGAGCACAACCGTAGAACGAATTAAAAATACGACACGATAGTACTTAATGTTTAGAAAATGATTTTCTTATCACAATACTTATATGTAAGGTAAATAATTTGTAAAATTTCAAAAGCTTTTCGATTTAACGGAAACTTAATATGTAATTATTTTCCAGTATTCCGTGCCATTTCTTTTGAATATCTGTTTCCCACGTGTTAACCGCAGTGGATTTGAAGTTTAAAAGAATTCGTTAATAACATCAATAAAATGAGGAATGTGAGAAAATGTTCTTGTTATCAGCTCAAGGATGCCATTGCTTTATTTAAATTGTAACATTAATTTATATTAATACTTTCTTAAACACGTTTGTTAAGAAAATTACGAAAATAATAAATTTTAAACCCCTTTAAAATCTGTTTATTAGTACTTACATTAGGATACATACACATTTCTGTCAGTATATGTAATGCGGTTTTAATTAAACATATTGTATATTGTGAAGTATGGCATCCAATTTAAATCTAAGAAATCGGCTCATGAAACTTAGTGGGACCAATTTTAATTTTTTTATAAGTGCTATGAACTGGGATAGTGCGTGCCTGCAATCTTTAGGTGGACTTTACAATGCTGAAGTTGTGCATTTATTATCTGTACATTGGCAGTTATAACTAAAGTGTACATAGAAAATATACTATGTTATTGAGAAGCAAATCTCGTGTTTTATTTACCTCAATGTGGTTTTTTTCTATGGATTAAAGAGTGTTTAGTAATAGGTATGTTTTCTTTTAATCTCTATGTTTCAAATAAAACCGGGCGAGTGTGCCGGGTGAGGCACTTTAAAGTGTACCGTTGTCAAAAGAGGACTATTATATACTAAGCTATTATACACAGATGGTAGGACCTCTTTTGAGTCCGCGCGGGTAGGTACCACCACATTGCCTATTTCTTCCGTGAAGCAGTAATGCGTTTCGGTTTGAGGGACGGGGCAGCCGTTGTAACTATACTTGAGATCATAGAACTTATATCTCAAGGTGGGTGGCGCATGTACGTCGAAGATGTCTATGGGCTCCAGTAACCACTTAACACCACGTGGGCTGTGAGCTCGTCCACCCATCTAAACAATAAAAAAAAAATACAGAGTAAATTAACAGTTTAGTATTATTTTTTTGTCGATTAACTCGAAAAAAGTTTGAAGTCGTCGTGGCCCAGACGTGGCTAAGACGTTCGGTGCATTCGTATTTAGCGATGCACCGGTGTTCGAATCCCGCAGGCGAGTACCAATTTTTGTCATGAAATACGTACTTAACAAATGTTCACGATTGACTTCCACGGTGAAGGAATAACATCGTGCAATAAAAATGAAACCCACAAAATTATAATTTGCGTAATTACTGATGGTAGGACCTCTTGTGAGTCCGCACGTGTAGGTATCACGGCCCTGTCTATTTCCGCCGTGAAGCAGTAATGCGTTTCGGTTTGAAGAGTGGGGCAGACGTTGTAACTATACTGAGACCTTAGAACTTATATCTCAGGGTGGCGCATACACGTTGTAGGTGTCTGTAGGCTCCAGTAACCACTTAACACCAGGTGGGCTGTGAGCTCTTCCACCCATCTAAGCAACAAAAAAAAACAACGTGTCTCCGAAAAAATCAAATTACTCTTTTATCTGTTTTGTTTTAGATTCTATGGCCTGGTAACGAAGCTTTTCAGACAAGTCATTTCTTCATATTATATTCTGTTATATGAAAAAATATATAATGCGAAATGAAATAAAGTTGATGAATTTTTTTACTTTAACAATTGGCAAGAAATTATAAGAAACGAGATGAAATGGAATGAAATAAAGTCTCAGTGAACTGATGTTTATTTACTGAGAATGTTTAACTGGAATAGCCCCTTAGGCTACCAGCGAATAAATATGGAAAAAATGACATTTTTTCCATGTCCAACAATGCCAAACAAATTATTTTTCCCACATTTCTGCACTTTCACAGATACTATACAGTTAATAAACCACCGCTATTACACATTCTGGCCTACCTGACCGATAACGGTTGCACATAGCGATCAGCAATGCTAACAGTCAAGTCTCATTCTTTTACAAATTTTCGTAGTTATGGTGGTTCAAAGTATTGTAATTAAGTACCATCTTGACGAAAGTGAGGTTTTCCATCCAATCCTAAGGTCGATTCAGAAAATACTATAACACAAAAATCGATCACTGAAATACATTTTAGTATTCCATTTTGAATGCGAAATATTTCAGTCCATAATTTGACACAGGTTCTAAGGAAGTTAGAATGATTTTAATAGAAAAAAAGGTGCTTTTTCCTCTATGTATTGATGTCAGTTATAAGATTTCTCTTATAAGACGAGAACTACACATCAAATAATAGGGGTTAAAGTATGAAATTGCCGTTTTATTGTAATAGGTAGGTACTTCGAATTGACATAGAACCTTCATGGTTTGAGATTTTTGAGTGATACTTTTTTCCTACAAGGCTCTTTTTTTTTAAATGTGTATCATTCGATTATCGACTTTCAATTGTTTTTTTTATTCAGCTTAGACAAGAAAGATGGATACTTCAAAAATTCAAGTGATTTTTGAACACGAGTTTCGAAGCGGAAGTAACGGTGCAGAAACAGCTCGCAATATCAATGTTGCGTTTGGAGAGGGGACTGCTAATGAACGCACCGTTTGATTTTGGTTTAAACGGTTTCGTGATAGTAATTTTTATTTGAAGAACGAACCACACGGAAGACCGCCCACACATGTGAATAACAATGAATTGAAAGAGATTGTTCGAGATCGTACTCGTATTAGTGATGGACGAGTAGAGGACGATGATATGCAAATTTGCAGTAATGCGAGTGGTCGTCCATATTGTTCCCCTTACCCCCCAATCCTCGATTCGTGTAACACACCATTTTCAATAATGTAAAAAAGTTTGAACAATAAACACTTAACATTATAACTGTAGAAAAAATACGCCACAGACAAAACAGTTTTATTTCTCGAAAACCAAAATTCACCAAGCCTCTCAACCAGCAAACAAAATCGCAAGCCGCACGAGAGATGGTGGAAACCGATCCGAGCCAAGCTACGTAGGAATTAGCGGCACGGTTTTACGTTACCTACCAACAATATTGACTCATTCAGATCAATCTCAGAAAAATGGGTGCCTCATGATTTGAAAGGCATGTTGAAACTTGTGTTGCCTTGTTGAATCGATACAGAAATGAAGGAATATTGGATCGAATTTTGACATATGATGAAAAGTGGATTCTTTACGATAACCGTAAGCGAAAAATGCAATAGCTGACCCCAGGTCAAATTCCGCCACAGTGTCCTAAAACAAAGCTTACCAATAAAAAGGTAATGGTAACTGTTTAGTGGTCTCAGAATGGTGTCTACTATGCCGAACTCCGAATAATGATAGCAAAATGTACAGTGAAACAGCCCCGACTCATGAATCGATCTTTACCATTATTGCTCCATGATAACGCGAGACCTCATACAGCACGAGAAACCGTTACAACTTTACAGGAACTGCAATTAGGAACCTTTCGTCACCCTCCGTATTCACCAGACCTTGCTCCAACGGACTACCATTTTTTTCGTGATTTGGACAATTTTGTACGTGATAAAAAGTTTTCTTTCCAGGAGGCAGTACAAAATGCTTTCACACAGTTTGTAGAATCTAGATCACCAGAGTTCTATCGCAAAGACATAAATGAATGACCTTCCTATTAGATGGCAGCAATGTATAGATAATAATGGTAGATATTTTGATTCAATAAATATGTGAATATAAAATATTCAGTATTTAAGTAGTAGTGTCCACTCATCTAAGCAATAAAAAAAATCCTTCATACAACTGTGTCTACAGTTTATTGTAATATTATATCGCCGCTGTATTAGTTCCGCTTTAAAACACAAGCCGCCTTTGACATATTATTATATAATTCCATAATATATGTAAATTACCATTCCATATTCACGATTTCTATACTCGCTGCATATTCGGCTATGGAATAAGTAGCCACTCACCATCAGGTGGGCCGTGTGCTCGTCTGCCTGCAAGGGCAATAAAAATAATAATATTTACAGAACATATACCCCGCGAATAAAGAGTTTTTACTGTATTTCTTCAAGTGTCTTACTAACCGCTTAGCATCTGTGAAAGTGCTTGTGTGAGAAAATGAAACAAAATTGCTGAACATGGCTTCGTGGGATCATCCAAAAAGTTCTTTGAACTCTCGGTAAATTCGCACTTTTTAACTAAGAGGCGTTGTCTTAATATGTCTCCTCGTTTAATTCTATTTCCTTCTATTCAGTCCATTTCACTTTTCAAACAACAAATATGGCTTCGGTCTATTTTAATAAAAACTTGACTGTATGGTCTGTGTTCCCAGTGCCTGTCCAAAACACGAATGGCAAAAATATACAATTAATAATAATTTACGCAATAACATTGTTAGGGTGGGAAAAGGGCAGAGATTTGGGAACAATAAAACTATAAAACTAAATAAAACAAAAGACTCGACGGCAATAAACGTAAACAATAATCATTGTTGAATGAAAAATATGCCGGTAGAACTAAACAGTCTTACCGAAGGCTGGCTAGAATTGGAAAGTGATCCTGGTCTTTTTACTTTACTATTAGAAGATTTCGGTGTTAAAGGTGTGCAAGTTGAGGAAATTTATGACCTGCATAAGCCTTTAGAGAGCCCGGTATACGGATTTATCTTTTTATTTAGATGGATAGAAGAGCGCAGATCAAGGCGTAAATTCGTTGAACAAATTGAAAGCTTTGTACGGGATGAGGAGACCATCAATAATATATTTTTTGCACAGCAAATGGTACCCAACAGTTGCGCCACTCATGCTTTACTTTCCATTTTACTAAACTGTCCAAATCTTCATTTAGGAGAAACATTAAGTAGGTTAAAAGTGAGTACTGAAATGTATTTATTAATAAGAAACCTATTGAAGTATTCCTACAAACTATTTAAATCTGAGCAAGAATTGTAGCTAATGTATTTTACAAAAATGTTCATAAATAATAGATGCAAAATGGATGTAATTAAAACTAGTTTTGTAATTCAATCTCGTCTATATTATAATAATATTAATTTTATCATTCCCTTTCTCAAGAACTACAGTTTTAGTGGTTGTGGACACCAGTTGTAACAAGAGAAGTTTTAATTATGCCTATGACTGGAAAACCAAAGAAAATCAATCTGGATATACCAGAATAAATCAATGAATACGTATTTGAAATATTAAACTTAAAACTACTTGTTCTTTGGTATAAAATAACTTAACCCTAGTTTTAATAGGTACATTAAAATGTCTCTTTTATCACCCACAGCATCATACAGTGGGTATGAATCCTGAAAACAAAGGATGGGCAATAGGAAATACCCCTGAATTGGCTTGTGCCCACAACTCACATGCCATACCACAAGCACGCAAAAAGACAGACAAAAATGCTGGAGTTTCTACTGGCAGATTTACAGGTAGTACCAAAGGATCCATCTTGTTCCAGTAATTATTGAATATTGATTGATATTGATACAGCATTTGTGTGCTTTTGCATTTTGACATTCAAATTAACATTAAAACTGCTGTTAATTTTTGGACTCAGTTACTCAAATATAGGTTGTCAAGTTGGGACAACAAGGGACAGGCTTGTGTTAAATGTTTGTGCAGTTTTTATAATAATATTAATAACAACTCATCTATCCAGACTTACAATGCTCTCTATCGCCAGTCAGTCAGATGCTACAACTACTATAAAGTTTTATTTTATTTCAGGTGAAGCATACCATTTTGTTAGCTTGGTACCAATCAATGGACATTTGTTTGAACTAGATGGTCTTAAACCATATCCTATGGATCATGGTCCGTGGGCAGCTGATGAGGATTGGACAGATAAATTTAGAAGGGTAATGGCAGAAAGACTTGGTAGAGATGCAGGAGAACAAGTTCATGATATTAGGTAAAATTTAATGTGCATTTAAAAAAATAAAAAAAATAATAGTAAATAAGAAATAAAATTAAGAAATTTGTAAAATTTACATTTCAGATTCAACCTAATGGCAGTTGTACCAGACAGAAGGTTAGCATTAACACAAAAGCTTGGGGCACTTGAAATAAATCAGAAGAGAGTCAAAGAAGCTATTTCAAAAATTGGGAAACATCTACGACATTTGTTGGGAAAAGGCAGAGAATATAATGGTAATAAATAACTATTATTAATTAATTACTAAGAAATCTTAAAAGTAACTGCTGGTGTAAATTAACTTTATTGTCTTCATATATTTGTTTTATAACTAGTCCAAAGTCCAAATATCTACATTCCAGTGTTGAATCTGTGTCATCCATGCATGTCAGTCTACATCTGAATTTACTGCTTTTTTGATTTGAAGAGAATCAACACTGCAACCTCATTCAACCACATAACAATATTTGAGCTTGTATGTATAACATAAAAAAAAATTTTTTTTCATTTCATTTTCTCTTTTTTATCAGTAACATTTTTAGTGTATGTATTGTTACGCCGGTGAGAGTAACGCCATCTATCGCCGAATAGTCGAACGAATATCGAAGGATCTAGTAGCACCTAGAACACTCGAGACGTTCAACGCCATCTATTGTCAGATAGCGGAAACACAATACTCGAAATGTGTTGAATATTCTCGATAATTCTAGGGATGTGGTATCGACTATAAAAGCGTTGCAAAGATGGCACGCAGGCAGTTAGTAATCGGATCTACTCAAAGCAAAACAGCGAACGGATCACCTGAAGCGAAAGAAGCTAATTGAGAGTTTTAAAGTGTTTAAAGTGTGTTGTAAGTGGTAAATATGTATAGTACATTGGTGGAACATTTACTTATCTCCAACCCCAGTGCGTAACAGTATGATAAACAATTTGTTTAAAATTTTATGAAAATATTTTTCAGGTCAGAGCGAGCTCATAACTAGCAATGATATTGATACATCTCTTAATGATAGCATGGTCCACATTAGTGAAGAGACAATATTAACAGCATTGCAATCATCACAACTACGCACATATGACATAGATTACACACTACCAATTACCATTGAGATTGGTGCTATGGACAGACCTCATCAGGATAGCAGCATTTTATTAGGTATTGTTCTATTAATATTGTAGATATGTAAGTAACCTTAGCTGAAGATGAGACCAATTTCAGTGATGTTTTAAAAATTAGTCTACCAGTCTTCACTCTTGTGATAGGTACTAAAAAAACTGTAGACGATGTGTCAATTAGAATGTCAACTTTAAGAAATAAGTTAGTCAGTATGATAAATGAGTTAAATGTTAAACTAAAGATTTACATCTTATTTATGATGGGAAAGAAATCAGAAATTACAAATTGGGAAAATTATTAATATTCAATGTAAACTGATAAATCTCTTAAAAACGTATTTATAGACACTTATAAATTTCAGTGGATCCTGTCGAACAAGGAGCTGTTGTGAAATTTGTTACAGCAAATAAAGATAGTCAAATCATTGGTGATGTACGTAACAATTTATCATAATTCAGCTATTAATTTAAATATCTATGGACAAGCATTTTTAATTCAATCTGCTCATATCAAACCAATTGCATCAAAATCATAATGTAAATTTTATTTCATTAGACTTTTACTTTCATACTTTTACAGTTTAACTCGGGAAACCAAAAAAACGATGAAAGTTCTAGTCTTCTTCTTTCTTTTCTATTACCCTTTGCTGGGATGTAGGGCTCGAATTAAATTCTTCCATCGGTCCTGGGCAGTCAGTTCTACCTCCTCCCATGTCATGCCCAGGACGCCCAGTTCCTGCTCTACTGAGCAACGCCAAGTTGTTCTGGGACGACCTCTCTTTCTTTTGCCAGACATTTTCCAGGTGAGTGCTCTCTTGGATAGGTGGGTATCGGGCATTCTTAATGTGTGACCAATCCAATGCCACTTCCGCGTAAAGATCTCCCTCTTTTATGGTGTCTGCTTGGTGATCCCAAACCCGTTGTAAATGATTGTATCAGGCTAAAAGATTTTCAAAAATTGACGTAGGCATTTACTCACAAACATTTGGAGTTACGAACCCTTGCGAACAAACCAAGTTTCGCTCCCGTACAGCAACACAGACTTCACATTTGAGTTGAAGATCCTCACCTATGTTCGTCTCGTTAAAGTTGAGGAACTCCACACTGGTCTAAGTTGACTAAAAGCGGCTCTGGCTTTATTTATACGAGCCGCAATGTATGCCTCTGTGCCTCTACTATGGTCCACAATGCTGCTCAGTTAACAGAAGCTTCCCACCTACTACTTTGATCAACATAGGAATCGGTAGTGTTTAGGCGTATATCTTTCGTTTTTGAAAAATTAATACGCCCCGTCTCCTTTTCAGCGTCATCTGCTAGATCTTCTACTTTGTTTTGTAGGTGCTGCCAATTGGTTGTAGTTGTAAAGTTGTAGTAGAAGCATAAAATACTAGTGACTGTAAACTTCGATCAAAATAGATACAAGTTTAAATTGTAAAAGTGTTGCAAACCTTTTCTATTCCAGATCTATCCAACATCAACAACCGCCCTAGTGAGAAGTAATGAATCACCAGTTCTTTTGTGCTCCGAAATAGCTCCGGAACAGCCCTATAAGTTGAGGAAATTGCTCCTATCTCATTCGGAACTTAATGCGCTAATGAGCTGCATTGTCGGTGAAGTGCAATCGTGTCAGCAGGCTCTAAACGATGAGAACGATAAAAGAGATATGTATAAAGTTAGTGTTAATTTAAATCACCGTGGGCGGCGGTGAATCACTTACCATCAGGTGACCCGTCTTGCTCGTTTGCCTCTTAGCAGTTATAAAAAAAAAATGATGTCCTAGGTAACTAATATATTTTCTTTTTCCTTTAGATGTGAAAGCGTTATTTTTACGTTGATTACCAAACGTTTGAGAATCCAAAAAGTAACGCTGCTATTAAAGAAATCCTTAAACGTAATTTAACATGTCGTGATGCAATACCTTTTTTCAAACATAATATGACGAAATAACGCATAGGTGACAGTTACATACAGCGTATGCTGCATAGTGTACTTGCACTGAAAAAACCATAATGACATTTTATTCATTTCACTATATCAACTTGTTTATACATTTTGATATTGGCTAAGTCAATTTATCATTTTTGATATCCATGAGTGACAGTAACTACTTAGCATCAGATGGGTCGTATGGTCGCCTACCTATAATGGCAATAAAATATTCATGGTATATATTGGTATTTTATTGTAAGGGTAGGTACCACCATCCTATTTCCATGGCAAAGCAGTCATGTATACTAGTTTGAAAGATGGGACCATCTTTATTCAATCAAATTGAGACTTACAGCTCATGGTTCCCGACAGTATTCAGATTATGATTTCAATGAACCCTTATAAATATTTAAGATAAGACATTCACCTATCAAAGCAATTAAAATAATGTTATCTCCGTGAGCATGATACAACTAGAGACGTATTTCAACTAAACTTGCGTCAACATCCTCAAATGTTATTAATCGTCATTATTTTCTTTTTATTGCCCTTGTAGGCAGACTAGCATACTGCCCAGCTGATGGTGGTTACCGTTGCCCATGGACCTCAGCAATGCCAGGGACAGAGCCAAGCCGCTGCCTACCGCTTAATACTCATTAAACTTACAGGTAGACGATTGTCGACGTACGCACAACTACGACGAGTTCATCTGCACTTTCCTATCGATGTTGACGGAGCGTGGAGCTCTTGCCGAACTGGTCGCGGCGCAGTTAGAACGAGGCCGGTCTCCGAGAGTGAGACGACGACGTCCTAGACCCAGACCCCGAGCGCGACCTAGACCAAGGCCACGTGGAAGAAAATAAATCGCATAACTTTCCCAATTGTACCAATCTTGTCCCTTCCCGCCAATATAGATTTTGCAAACAATATGAAGTTGCTATGTTTAAAGTAACAATAATTATTATACTACCGTCCTGGGTATGCTTGAGATTATAGAAGTTGATCTTCTATGTGCTTTTTCATTGTAATTCTTAGATTAGCTTTCGCTATTCACAAATCCGATGTACATTCGAAGCACTAAGGATAACTAGTAAATAAAACAAGTATTAAAAACGATTTATTCTTTATTTAAACTACGAACAGCGCCATATTTACATGGTATCATATTGTTAAAGAAATGTAACAACAACAACTCGTTAGATTAGGCACGTGATCATCGAACAACATTCTTATATTTAGATAAATACAGCGCGATACACGCGCGCTCCCAGCGACCTGCTATATATGTATATACCCATACATTAAGTAGAATAATCATTTTTATAATGAATGATGATGAAATTGAACGAGAAAAGAAACTTAAACAGGAGTTATTTTTTTATAAAGGTTAGGAATAAATAACAGAATACAATCCGCAGTGACGCAAGTAACGATCGTTAGGTTGTAAGGTAAAGTTTGTATTTCATTAATGAAATACACAACAATAAGTCCATATCTCAACACTTATCTAAATTTAGAAGATTTCCCCGGACAAGATTTGTTGATTTGACGTCACGAATATATTAGATGTAAGGAAGCGTTTGATTAGTTTAGTAATTAGCATTTGGAGTTTGATATGATTACAGCATGAAGCATTTCGATGATAAAATCTTCTATATCACAGACTAACAAAAATTTACGACTAAAATCACTACATGCTTATAATATGGCACTAATAACTAAACCAGAATATAATCTGTAACANCCATCGTATTATGTATAAGTATATATGTTTTGTCGATGTAGTGCAGCCGTGCGCGCTGCGAACAGCGTACCTCTCCCTAGTTCTTCCTGCATCCATACCACCCCTGCCCTATGTGGCAGGGAGCTCGTCCCGGGCAGTGGGGTTTGCCCCGAGGCCCGTTCCGTGCCCCCGAAAGGGGGTACGACGACCCTTCTTCTTCATGGTTCACTTGCGGACTAAACAATAATAATAATAATGGTTGGTTCGAAGTAGGTATCAGTGGAATGGAATATTTGAAATGTATTCCACTTATAACTACTTTTAATAAATGTATATTTTTTATTTGATTGGCTTTGTTAATTTTAAGTATGTTTCAATGATACTATGTACACATATGGACTTATTGTTGTCTGAAATAAAATAAATCATTCATTCATTCATTCATTGACAACGTCCATGAGCGACGAAAAGGAATTAATTCAAATCACACATAATTCAGTCGTAAACTTTTCTTTTTTTTTTTTTTTTATTGCTTAGATGTGTGGACGAGCTCACAGCCCACCTGGTGTTAAGTGGTTACTGGAGCCCATAGACAACTACAACGTAAATGCGCCACCCACCTTGAGATATAAGTTCTAAGGTCTCAAGTATCTTTCTATCAGCAATAAAGTTGTGAATAGACTGCGTTAGAATTCTGAACTCCAAGACTGTGTGTTTTGGAGAAAAATTAAAATTAGGAAGAAAACTGAGAAATCACATAATGTTTTTTTTTTATTGCTAGAATGGGTGTACTAGCTCACAGCCCACCTGGTGTTAAGTGGTTACTGGAGCCCATAGACAACTACAACGTAAATGCGCCACCCACCTTGAGATATAAGTTCTAAGGTCTCAAGTATAGTTACAACGGCTGACCCACCCTTCGAACCGAAACGCATTACTGCTTCACGGCAGAAAAAGGCAGGGTGGTGGTACCTACCCGTGCGGACTCACAAGAGCTCCTACCACCAGTGAATTCAACATTGTTCCTATTTTCTAAAACAACAACCCTATTACTACCTATTATTACCCTATTATTACCACGTAAAGGGGAAAAATCGATATATCTTATGAAGTTTGTAATTTAATTAAAAACAGTAATTTAAAACCGTCGATCAGATTTCAAATTCTTCAAAGTTGCTTTTACTGCTACATACTCGTAGTCAGTTTGGAGATTTTAGGTGTATAGGTATGTTTAATTTGTGAATCCCGTATGTCTTTTTTTTTTTATTGCCCTTGTAGGCAGACTAGCATACGGCCCACCTGATGGTGAGTGGTTACCGTCGCCCATGGACTTCAGCAATGCCAGGGGCAGAGCCAAGCCGCTGTCTACCGCTAAAGACGCAGGGATGCTGATTATTAACGGTTTTGAATTAAATAATAACACAACTTACTGGTGGTAGGACCTTTTGTGAGCCCACGCGGGAAGGTACCACCACCCTGCCTGTTTCAGCCGTGAAGCAGTAATATGTTTCGGCTTGAAGGGTGGGGCAGCCGTTGTAACTATACTTGAGACCTTAGAACTTATATCTCAAGGTGGATGGCGCATTTACGTCGTAGATGTCTATGGGCTCCAGTAACCACTTAACACCATGTGGGCTGTAAGCTCAACCACCCATCTAAGCAATAAAAAATATATGCGAAGAACGAATAACATAATTAATGATTGAAAAATCTTAGGCTTATGGCAAATTATAGTAGTCATGATCATTTTAGTTTTATAAATTTCATGTTTTAGAGCAGGGGCTTCTAAACTTATTTCATCTCATGCCCACTTTGAGAATAAATTATGTTGTAGCGCCCCCATTTTTTCACCTACTTAAAAACCGCTATAGCGCGAGCTCAGTCAGTGTCTAAGAGTCCTCCTAGATGAAATTACAAATCGCCACCAAAGCCTGTACATAACGCCCCCATTGCCTCTACATAACGCCCCCATTTTTTTCTGGGTCTCTTATCGCCCCCCTTTAGGCCTGCAGCGCCCACAAGGGGGCGTTATCGCCCACTTTGAGAAAGGCTGTTTTAGAGCATAGAGCACTTAATATTTTTAAAAGTTAGACTTATATAAACAGCTTAAAAGACCAAACAGATAGTCCCCCGACAATTCGATGCTTATTAATGCTGTATAAATCTTTATATATTTTAGTACGGTTTTATATAGAGTGCATATTAATAAATAATAAATAATGTATCACATATTAATAATAAATAATAAATTAATAAATATTTACTAACAATCACACCACGTTAACTGGTCCCGTGATAAGTTCGTAAAGAACTTGTGTTACAGGTACCAGATAACGGAAATAAATGTAATATTTTTATTATACACATACATATATTTAAGATACATCCATAACCCTGGAAAAGACATTTATATTTATCATACAAATACCTTCCCTTGGCGGGATTCGAACCCGCGACCCCCTTGTGTAGTGACCATGTCACTTACCACTACACGAGACGGCCGTTAAATCCAATGAGTGCGATCTAATGAATTATAAGTAATACGAGGTTCGCCTTACTTATATATGAAATTCATACTCAAAACTTGTGACACCTTCAAATCAGTATATTTTACTGTAAATTGTTCCTTAAGCCTCGTTATAAAAAAAAGTGATATAAGATTCCGGAAGCAATAGGTTAATGTCCCAGGTGCTAAAATACACTTTATTACATTATTCACTGTCACACTCTATACACTATATGCACAGATATCATAACAATTAACCGAAAAGCGTCCACTGCTAGATGTAGGCCTACCCAAACATTCGATAGAATTTTTAACTTTTATTTCTTTTGGAGAATAAAGACAATTAGGCTGCCTTTTCAATTTATTTAAAAAATATATAAACAAGCTCGCACTGAATTAAAAACTTTAGTTTCTGTAATTGACTAAAAGTCGCTTTCAATCATTGAGAATTATTGAGAAAGAATCATAATGAAACATACCAAGCACGCTGACATTGCTGACACCGATACAAAGAGAAGGATAGGTAAGCGATGACCATCACAAGCAGAGCTGTGATGTAGAGCACATGAGGGTTGCTGAACATCGATGTATTGCAAATTTTAGGAACAGCTCCGCAACAACTCATTTTAAATTTGGTTATTTGGCGTAGAGAAACAATAAATCACATTTTTATGTTTACGTTTTTAAAAGTGTTATTTGATTTCATAGACCTTTAAAGTATTTGATTTACATGATCTTTGAATGTCATAAAATGGACGTTATCCAACCATAAATAACAAATTTGTGTGACATAGAATATTTTAACCTCACCTGTCATAAGTGCCTATGCTAAAGTTTTTTAGATCTAATTATCCATTAGGCAACTTTACCTGTTTGACGCACGTCTGAATTTATTTAAGGAGAATTATAACTTGTATAGATAACTTAAGTAAGAAAATTTAATGTTAATAATGTTCTAGAAACAAATAGCACTTGCTAGCTTCTTGATAATATGATCTCAGATGAAGGCCATCGAAAAAATGGTTCTCATAAATGGGTAAACAAGTACACAGACCACGCAGTATAAAGTGGACATTATCGGAGCCCATAGACATCACCAAGTGAATATCTTTACTCGGCTTGACATATGAGGTCGAAATTTCTATTTTATTGTATACAGCTTGTCTTGAATACAGCTGCCCCGTCCTTCAAGCTGGATCGTATGAAAGGCTAGAGCTAGCTAGAGAGGGACAGGATAGTGATCAGAGAGCGCTATAGCTCATTCTCCGGTGAAACCCTTGTCTCTTTTATGAACCTTAGTAAAAGATTCGGGTGGTACTATTCTAGACCGCTAGCTAGTTAAGTTATTTAGTGTTTAGGCTATTAGTTATCTATGATACGCATAATGATGTTGTATTATTACAATTGTAAACGGGCAGAGCACTTGCCAACTGATTACCGGGAGTCACAGACAACGAGACTACCACTGAGCATTAGATAACACACAGTCAATGAGCTGGTTATTACTTGGAACTTTTTTTTTATAAGTTGTGTTTTTAGAACTTATGTTTAAATACGAATTACATATTGCTATTATATTATTTGTTATTTTCTTTCAATAAAAAATAAAGTTTATGTTTAAGTTGATTATCGATAAAGTTGATTATTGAAAACACAAATAAAACAACATTTTCTGAAATTAAATCGTAGCTAGATCGATTTATCGCCCCCGAAATCCCCTGTATACTAAATTTTATGAAAATCGTTGGAGCCGTTTCCGAGATTCAGATTATATATATATACATATTTATATACATTTTTTTAATATTTTTTATTGCTTAGATGTGTGGACGAGCTCAAAGCCCACCTGATGTTAAGTGGTTACTGTAGCCCATAGACATCTAGAACGTAAATACGCCACCCACCTTGAGATGTAAGTTCTAAGGTCTCAATATAGTTACAACGGCTGCTCCACCCTTCAAACCGAAACGCATTAGTGCTTCACGGCAGAAATAGGCAGGACGGTGGTACCTACCCGTGCGGACTCACAAGAGGTCTTACCACCAGTAATAAATTGCTCGTTTAAAGATATAAGATAAGTAAAAAAGAACACATGCAGAAATCGTGTATTTAATTCGTACAAAATCTTATAAAGCAAAAAAATAGTATTCTATGTTCATTTTTCTTTATTTCTACCAAGATGTTTATCTTCAGCCACTCGGAAGAGGACTTTGCTCATTGTATCTCCTGTTTCGCGCACCATCGAGCTGAAGATCGAATTGGGGTCGGAGAGCAGAGCATAAGGAGTATCGTATTCGGCAACAACTCCTTTGTCCATGACCAGGACGCGATCAGAATCCATGATCGTGTTGAGTCGGTGCGCGATCGTGATCACCGTACATGACGCAAACTCGCGACGTATCGTCGTCTGAATCAACGCGTCAGTTCTGAAAAAGTGTAAAACCCGAGTAAAAAAAAATGTTAGCGTTACATAGTAATTGCGTTGATTAATTACGTTGATTACGTAATTTTGTTATTGGAATAGGCTCTCGCCCGCAGCTTTGCCTGTGTGGACTATGCTTTATATCGCGAAACAAAAATCATTTAAAATCGCTGTTTTATATTCTCTTCTTCAGTGGGTAAAAGCCCTTTCTATTTTGATTACATTTCATTACATTATTTTCTACAATTTACAGGTAACATCTTCTATTGTTTTATTATATTTTTAGATTTCTTATAAATTTCAAATACTTACTGAGGATCAACGTTGGCTGTCGCCTCGTCCATTACAAGGATTTTGTTAGAACGCAAAACAGCTCGAGCCAAACATACCAGTTGTCTCTGACCGACGGAGAAGTTGCTGCCACCTTCTGACACTTTATAATCGAGCGCTGGAATTACCTCTTTCAGTTCAACCTGCTCGACAAGATTAATAAGGGTATTAAGAAATGATATGACACAATTGTGTTCGCCAAACTAAACATTTTGTTGTACATATAAATGCTTAAGCTGATGTCTATAACAATAATATATCGTAGAATCGAGATTTGATCTAATTTTCATGTTATTATCTCTGATATGTCTATAAAGCAGTAAAGACTTAAAACAATATAAATGTGTTGAACAGTGTCTATTTGCTTCCGTAACAGTCTTTCTTACACCAGACTGATTTTCTCGCCGGATCTTCTCAATGAGTCGCGTTTCTTTTCCGGTGGTAGATTCTGCGAAGCACTGCTCTTGCTAGGGTCAGTGTTAGCAACACTCCGGTTAGAACCCCGTGAGCGCACCTACACACGTTAGGGTGAAGCTGAAATAGCCTCTCAAGGCGATCAGCATAGGTAGGAAAAAAAAAACCTTAAGTGAGATCGTTTAGAAAATAGAGATGATAAATGTGACCAAACACGTACCTGTTCCAAAGCTCTCCAAATTTCGTCGTCGCTATAACTGTCGAAGGGATCCAAATTGTATCGCACCGATGCAGAGAACAAAATCGGTTCTTGTGGAATGATAGAAATCTTCGATCTTAGCTCCTATGAATTATAGAAACGTTCGATTAGACGTCCAAGTGTGCTTTCAAAGTTTTTAATTGACAGTAAATATTTAATGTTACCGTTTTAGCGATGATGTTGGTATCGATTCCGTCTATTCTGATGTGTCCTTGCAGTTCGTACAGCCTGAACAGTGCGGATATCATAGAAGACTTGCCGGCACCGGTTCGACCGACTACTCCAACCTACAAATTACAAGGAAACTGTGTCATTTTCTCATTGAATATTGAAGCTTGTCATTTCCGCTAGGTACAAATTAGCAATGTTTGAATGTGACTTCCTTAACCTCCATATTTATTTTCGATTTGTGATTAAATCTGTATTTTCTTTTATTTTTTTATTGGCCTTGTAGGCAGAAGAGCATACGGCCCACCTGATGGTGAGTGGTTACCGTCACCCATGGACTTCAGCAATGCCAGGGGCCGTGCCAAGCCGCTGCCTACAAATTGAATAATTGCAATTGACAAATTGCCTAATTGAAAGGCATGAAGTTTTTTTTCAATACAATATTAATAAATATTTATAATAATAAAAAAAACACAGGCAAATATGCTAACCATATGTTCACAGTTTTGAGAAATCGTAAAGATTGATATATAAATAAGCACTTAGAGAAAATACTTATTCTCGAACCATGACTACAACTAACATATATATTTATTTCAAAATATTTCAAAGTAATGCTTAAAAATAAGGTTACCTTCCAACCATTCTCAATTACAAAGTTTAAATCTTTGAGTACTGGTGGATCTTCTTGAGAATAGTTCAAAAATAGATTTTGAAATTCAATACGACCGTGTGTAGGCCAGTCCTTGGGAAGTTGGGCTAGACAATCAAACAATTATGAATTAGAACAACTAGAACATGAAAATTTTGACTAGTAGTCAGAGGTTGAATACTATATGGATATTCTTAATACTTAACAAATAATAAATTCTGTATAAATCTTATCAAAATGTGCAAGCTTTCATATTTTAGACGTATGCGAGACCATATATATGAGTACCTGCAACTTATCATTCAAGGGAAAGTCTAGAGTAAAACGAGACCACGTAATCCGTCGTAATCATCGTAATCCAACATAAACAACCAACGTAAGAACGTTCGTAAGTCGTCGTGGCCTAAAGGATAAGACGTCTGGTGCATTCGTATCTAGCGATGCACCGGTGTTCCAATCCCGCAGGCGGGTACCAATTTTTCTAATGAAATACGTACTTAACAAATGTTCACGATTGACTTCCACGGTGAAGGAATAACATCGTGTAATAAAAATCAAACCCGCAAAATTATAATTTGCGTAGTCACTGGTCCTAGGACCTTTTGTGAGTCCGCACGGGTAGGTACCACCACCCCGCCTATTTCTGCCGTGAAGCAGTAATGCGTTTCGGTTTGAAGGGTGGGGTAGCCGTTGTAACTATACTTGAGACCTTAGAACTTATATCTCAAGGTGGGTGGCGTATTTACATTGTAGATGTCTATGGGCTCCAGTAACCACTTAACACCAGGTGGGCTGTGATATCGTTCACCAATCTAAGCAATAAAAAAAAAAAAAAACGTAACCATACAACGTAATCATCGTATATTTTGGCTCAAAGATTTACGTCAGGGGCACAATGAGAGCAACCGCTCTCTAGTTTACGCAGTAATGTCCAAATTTGAAATAGCGCCAACGGTGGCCAACATCCAAAACCCCCCGTCAATCTGGGGGAGCACCACATTACAAAGCGTTATTTAACTTTAGATATATCAAACTTTTTTCACTACAAGACGAGCCACGACAAAGCATATTCTTATTTCTAGGTAAGACTAATTTTGTTTGGTCAAAGCAAGAATTTGCTTTCCTGATTGTTAAAAAATATAAAGCATTTCTTATCTCGCATCCTTATATTAAAATGCTTAAGTAACATAAACGCTAAATGGCCGACATATCCTACTATAGCAATACAAACCTATAGGCCTTTTTTTTTACTCTGGGGAATCCATTTACTGATACCCAGTCGAGGGGGGGGGGGGAAATATATACCTAAAATAGGCCTAGTGATAATGAAAAGTTACTTACATCCATCATACATGTTTTCTTCCATCGGAAGCTCGGTATATTCGAGAACTCTCTCGACAGCCGTCATTTGTCCGAGGAAATCGGCTGTGAACCGAGCCGCCATTTGCAGCATCATCGTTAACACCATAGACTGACTCACAGCCAAGCCCACGCTACCGACGGGAATTAAAGTACCTGTTCACAAATACAAGTCACCATTTGATGTGAAGTTCGTTTATTCTAATAAACCTGCAATCGATGCTCGCTTGTTCTAAATCAAACTAGATTAAAACATTAAACGTAATTTTTTAAGAAAAACAAAAGCGCAGCATACTTTTTGTTTTCCTTTTTTTTTATTGCTTAGATGGTTGGACGAGCTCACAGCCCACCTGGTGTTATGTGGTTACTGGAGCCCACAGACATTTACAACGTAAATGCGCCACCGACCTTGAGATATAAGTTCTAAGATCTCAGTATAGTTACAACGGCTGCCCTACCCTTCAAACCGAAACGCATTACTGCTTCACGGCAGAAATAGGCACGGCGGTGGTAGCTACCCGCGCGGACTCACAAGAGGTCCTACCACCAGTAATGTAAAAATGTAAAAAAAATATTTGTAAAAAGCAGCTAAAAATTTTCAAATAACGTCAAATCCTCGTCGAAGTCATGTTAGTAAGCTTGATGGTACAATTCGCAACTGCGAGCCTTAAAAACCGTAGTACTTCTGAAATGCTTGTACTTACTGAAGTCGATTACAAGGAAGATCGTCAATATCACTCCCAAATAAACTAGGCAAAGCGCATCCAGATATAAACCAAATGCAGTTGATCCACCAACAAACGTATAAAATGCACTCGTGTGGAGATTCTGTAATTCATCAACATTATTTTTTTCATTAGCTTTTGTGAGTAGGAATAGGCAGAACGGTGGTGGCCTTTTGCAGACCCACAACCACCAATACTCAAAATATGAATTAAGTGGGAGAAACAGAAGAATTAAGACACGATTTCGTAATTTTTACATTTATTAATTCTTTATGAGTTTTAAATATGTATACGGCGAAATACCGGAAGTAACACAAGAAAAGATAAAGTAACCAGAGAAGGTCGGGATCGCACACCTCTTTATTATGTTTAATAATAATCAAATTGATTTTAACAAAAACCAAAATATTTTTTTTAAGTTTTATGTAGGCCTCTGCAAGCGTCTTTAAGTCATCGTGACAATGTAGGTAGTTTCATTACTTATAAGAACAGCCACGTATCATTCAAGAACCCTTTTTATCAAAAATTTTACACTTATGTTTGCACATTTTTCTTCCTCATTTACATATAATGTATGCGTAACAAGAGTTTTTTCGCAATTCGGTATGGCTTTTTCCAGCAGCTTACAGAATGCTACATATGTTACAATAAAAACTAAAGTAATATGTATTATATCAACAATCTCCGAGTATTAATGTCTACGAGTTTTTTTTTAGATGTTTCTAGATTTTAGGCAAACGGTTTAACAATAAACAGAAATTAGAGATTTCCAATAGAATCTCTTTTTGCATGGACCGATATGTATTCATCTAAATTAACATTTCATTACCTGTGCGTTATCAAACATTTGTAGCAGTCGTCCTTGTGAGTTAGAACTTCGGATCGTAGACAGACCTGTGAGGGTTGAGTTGATCATGCCCAGTACTGGACTCTTGGCTGTGAATACATATACAAAGTTACATCTCCGCCAGAAAGCAGATAACTTAATTTCATATTCATCGCAACTGTCAGACATAATAGAATATGTGTAACGAAACAAAAAATAACTTCAGTTGCATTTACAGTCGGATCAGCTTTCTTGCAGCCAGGAGTAAATCCTGTGCAGTAAGGATCCACAGACCCGACAACACAAAAAATGTCTTTGAACGATGAGCTTCAGATTACCCGACAAAATAATTTATCTTGAATCCCATTCCCTTAACCAGTTTTAATGTACATAAGAAAAGAAAAGAAAGCATATATATTTAGGAATTCAGGTTTATTTTTTATTTGAATAGACAGGTTAAGAATCTCACAATCCACCTGGCGTTATTTCCAGAAATCGATAGACATTATAATGTCAATGCCACCACTTTGAGACGTGAGGTCAACATTTCAAATTATGAATTAAAGCGGCTGCCTCAGCCCTAGAAACCGGAATGCGTCACTGTTTATCACAACAAAAACGACAGTTTATTATTTATACCCATTAGAAATCAAGCTTAATTCATCATTAAATAATAAAACTATAATACTTACTTGTGCCTTCTAATCTTTTTACAGCTTGAGCAGCATTTAAGTACCATTTCAGGAGAACGAAGAAGAGAATCAAAAGTACCGCTGTTGGGATCAACGTCCACGGTAATGCTATAGCATTTAAAATAAGTATACTGCATAATGTTAAATACATCTGAACAGTTTCAAATAAACTCCTCGGAAGGAATTCGTCCATCGCACCCATATCCTTTGAAAAACGATTCAACACACGACCTAATGGAGTTTAATCATTCATATTAATTGTCAATATAATTGAATTCGCATCGAGATTAAAGTTAAAATTCTTCGTTGTTAAATATTGAACTAACCTGAGGGATTCATGTCAAAGAATCGCATAACTGTGATAATCAACTTTTTATAAACGGTATCATGAAAATTAGATGAAGCTCTCATAGTCGTAATGACGAAAGTTAAAATTCTGACGTGACTGATCACTATGAGGATTAAGATGACTCCGCCATAAGTCCAAAGGTATACTCCTAAAGTGAACGCTCCGGCTTGCGTGTCCAAACTTGTGCTCGGTTCTTCTCCCTCAGCTAAAGATTGTTCATACTCATCAACTTGATTTGTCCTGAAATAATGACAAATTTTGAAGTCGCCGTGGCCCAAAGGATAAGACGTCGGGTGCATTCGTATCTAGCGATGCACCGCTGTTCGAATCCCAAGCGGGTACCAATTTTTATACTGAAATACGTACTAAACAAATGTTCACGATTGACTTCCACGGTGAAGGAATAACATCGTGTAATAAAAATCAAACCCGCAAAATTATAATTTGCGTAATTACTGGTGGTAGGACCTCTTGTGACCCGCACGGGTAGGTACCACCACCCTGCCTATTTCTGCCGTAAAGCAATAATGCGTTTCGGTTTGAAGGGTGGGGCAGCCGTTGTAACTATAGTGATACCTTAGAGCCTTAGACCTTAGACCTTAGAATCTCAAGGTGGGTGGCACTTTTACATTGTAGATGTCTATGGGCTCCACTAACCATTTAACACCAGGTGGGCTGTGAACTCGTCCACTCATGTAAGATACAAAAAAAAAATATATGTGGGTCCGGAACCCTGCCATAGTTTGACTGTCTCATTGATCTGAACCACTGTCAGCGTCTTTGTTAAAAATTATGACATTGGAGTTCCTGGTATCTTGGTTTTGTATGTGTTTCTCCAGTACACATACCACAAGAGAAAAACGTATAGAATGTGCTTAGAAAAATTAGCTACCAGTAATTTCAAGAACAAGACATTGTACACCCCTCAGAAAAACGTATGGAGGCCCTTATTGAAGAATGTAATTTTATGTGTAAATAAAACAAAGCTGCATTTGAAAGGTCAACTTTAGAAAACGGTATTATTTCTTATTTGCCTTCATTATTTAATAATGTGCTTAAAGAAAGGCTTGGTCTATTTTGATAGACCAGTTTGAATATTGTTTTTTTTTTTGTATAATTGGAAGATTGCTGGTGGCCTTTCCATTTTCACCAGAACAGGTGGGCGAGCAAAGGCTCAGCCAGGAGGGGTGGGATTTGCTTACAGCTGCCCGAGCGCCTCCGAAGGAGACCTTACAACTCAAAAGTGGCATGAATATGATTAACAACGGTACACCGCGGCACCGCAACAAAACTGCTATATCTTTTTCAAAATTTCTCAAAATAAAACGGTTAACGGATATCCACCTATTGTATGTTATACCTGACTCTTTTTCAATGTTCATGGTATTTTGTTAGAAAATATAGTATACTTTCTCTCTCTCTCTTTCTCTCTCTCTCTCTCGCTCTTTCTTAACACCTTATAACAGTAACCTGTATACATTTAAAATTTAAAATAAAAGAATATTGTAATTTACCAAAAACTCAGCCAATAATCTATGAACGTCGCACATCCTTGTGTGATAACTAATGTGACTACCATCAGAAATACTAGAAACCATGATTTCACTGCAGACAAATACTTGTATAAAACAGAGAATTTCAAATTTCCTTTGGCACGTTTCTCTTCTTCCTCCACTTGTACCTTCTCGTTATCTGGATCTTCAACACTCTTAGTAGATATTTTCGATATAGCCCGTAAGAAATTCTTTTCCTATAAGACATATTATTATATTAAAAATGTACACATTCTTACATACATATAATTTTAAAACAATTATTTGTGGTAATTAGTTACCGAAGCTCAACAAAATGGCTTAACTTTTTTTATACAATACGGTAGGTTGCGATCGTAAAAAAAAACTTAAATGACAAACATACCGGACCATTCTCATTATCGTTGCTTTCTTGATTAGTCAACAGCTTCGAAAACTCTGTTCCGGTGTTGACCAAATCATCGTAGCTACCAACGTTTTCAATTGCTCCCTGCAGAACGATGAAAATTTACATAGGTACATAATAAAATGTAACAATTATTCACTTTTGAGGAATAATGTATCTAAAATTTCAATCAACATCAACATTAGTTAATCATGTTTAAACAGCATTAATATTTGTTAAAATTTTAAGGAGTCTGCCCTTCTTTTCTTTTCCTTTTTTCCTACCTAAGCTGAGAGCCTTGAGAGGCTATTTCAGCGTAACCTTAACTAGTAGGTGAGCTCACGGGGCTCAAACCTGACGACGTTGCTAACACGAAGCCTAGCAAGAGCCGTGCTTCGCAGAATCTACCACCGGATCGGAAACGCGACCCACTTAGAAAATCCGGCGAGAAACTCAGTGGGCTGTCTGAGGGTTAATTTACTCGTCGAGCCATTCGTCGCAAGGGACGGGTTCGACGAGAACGATGACCGGAGTCTGCCCACTACTATACCGTGTCATACCATGACCGGGCTAGGGATGTGGCAGATAAAAAAATACTGTTTGTATTAAAAAGTATGCCTACTAGACCGTTCCGTAAGCGACTAACACCGTCACGTGCCATGAACGGAGCGTCAGTACCTAATTGTCGGCGAGAATATTTTGCTGATGCCGATAGCACGCGACGTTTCCAAGCCTCTATGCGCAGGCCGCCAGCTGTGCATAGCATGAGCATACGGGTTGTAACGTTAATTTTGCTAATACCCATACCTATTTTAGTATTTAAAAACGTCACCGGTGATACGCAACGCAACAGTGATACGCATGCGAGAATGAAATCGATTTCTATCTACCGGTTTTGGTGGATACATTTTTTTTTATTGCTTAGATGTGTGGACGAGCTCACAGCCCACCTGGTGTTAAGTGGTTACTGGAGCCCAAAGACATCTACAACGTAAATGCGCCACACACCTTGAGATATAAGTTCTAAGGTCTCTGTATAGTTACAACGGCTGCCCCGCCCTTCAAACAGAAAGGCATTACTGCTTCACGGCAGAAATAGGCAGGGTGGTGGTACCTACCCATGCGGACTCACAAGAGGTCCTACCACCAGTAATTACGCAAATTATAATTTTGCGGGTTTTATTTTTATTACACGATGTTATTCCTTCACCGTGGAAGTCAATCGTGGACATTTGTTAAATACGTATTTCATTAGAAAAATTACTACCCGCCTGCGGGATTCGAACAGCGGTGCATCGCTAGATACGAATGCACCGGACGTCTTATCCTTTAGGCCACGATGACTTCACTATACATAGGCACATACGGGCATCATACGGGTTGCGTACGGGCACAGAACGCGGTTGATCCGTTTCAGTGGGCATAGTAGAGCGTATCGTGTCGCTTTTGTGTCTGATACGTTCCTAGCACAATCATGGTATGGAACAGTGTAATGGGCATACTCCTTTAATGTCACAATAAGAAATAAATACATTATTTTTTAAATATAGTACGCGAGAATTACTTCAAAACAAAATTCTTATCTATATTAGCTACAGGAAAATTATGAATATAGGAGGAGAAAAAAAGTTAAAATTATCGAACAAAGATTTGATTACTCACCTCGTTCAGTATGACAATAATGTCAGCTGCTTTAAGATAGTGGATTTGATGGGTTACAAGGACACAAGTTCGACCCCGCAGATATCCTTTGATACAACCGTCAAACAGCTGCCTGCCAACGTTGGCATCCACTGCTGAGAGAGGATCATCTAGCAAGTAAATGTCGGCCTGAAACATGTTTTTTCTTTAATTAAATATATTTGCTACCATAATTTAGACTTATGTTAGTCCTACACATTATGATTACGAATAAATGTGTATAATTAAATAATACTTTTTGTATTGGCCAAAAAGAAAATCCGAATATATGTGTGTATGTGTGTGTGTTTGTGTGTTCATAAAACAATCATTTTGTATGTTAAAAATGATAGCATAAAATCTACAAGCAATAAGGCCAACACGTTGTATTTGTTATTATAAAATGTCCTAGATACCTTATTACGAGTATCTAAATTAATAAAAAACTTTTGAATACGCTTTCAAAATGAAGATACAGTTAGTCAATAAACGAAAATAGTCAACATCACAAGAACTGATTAGCTCAAGCGGATAATTTTGTTTATTTATCACTTGAAATGCTATAACTTACCTCTCGGTAAACAGCCCTAGCGAGATTAATTCTGGCACGCTGTCCCCCTGACAAGGATACTCCTCGCTCTCCAACTAAGGAGAGGTCTCCGTACGGAAATTGTTTGAAATCAGGAAGCAACGAACAAGCTTTACACACCTAAAGATTATTGAAAATGAATTATTACTACATATTACTTAATCGCGGTTATTTGTTGAAACTAATCGCGCTCCATATACCATGAGTTTTTGGTAATATTCTAGACGAAAAAGCACTTAAAGTTCCAACTACAACTAAGATTCAATTCGGTCGGATAAACAACGCACTAATGCGCAATGCATAGACAAGCCAGTGAAAAAAGGCCCATTTTTTTATAAATTATCTTTTACCTTACAAATTTTTTAGTAGTTCCATGTAAAATTAATATTTCTAACTTCAACAAAGTTGTTTTTATAATATAATGACAGAAACGGATCATAGAACTAAATTCTTTTTTTAAATCAGTTTTTCCCAAACGCATGTTTTGAATTATGTAATCGAATATGAGAACAAAGTTTTGTTTAAATGTGCTAAAATAAAGTAATTTACCTCGTGATATTTCTGTGAGTCGTACGGCAAACCAAACAAAATGTTTTCTCTCACAGTAGCAGGGAACAGCCAAGACTCTTGACACGCGTAGGAAAGCCTCCCATTTATTCTCAGGCTACCACCGCAAACCGGCAGTTCTTTCAGAAGAACTTGCAAAATGGATGACTGGAATGCAAAAAAATAATACGGATTACGGACACTATCGTATGCAAAAAAGTATTTTTAGTAATTAACTTTAATTTTTAATAATTAACTTTAACCATAGACACAATGTTATCATTCGAACATAATAAAACACATGAGCATTAGCACAGTCCTATCGCTAATGTTGGTTTCGCTGGAATTGAAATGTCACATAAACATAAAATGAACATGTTTGCTAACTTACAAAAGAACCAATAAGATTCAACCGTAGAAAAGTATTTAAGCGTTACTTAAAGTATTTTTCTTTTAGTTACAGTATAGTTACAACGACTGCCCCACCCTTCAAACCGAAACACATTACTGCTTGATGGCAGAAATAGGCAGGGTGGTGGTACCTACCCGCGCGGACTCACAAGAGGTCCTACCACCAGTAATTACGCAAATTATAATTTTGCGGGTTCGATTTTTATTACACGACTAGCTGACCCGGCAGACTTCGTAGTGCCTCAATCGATAAATAAAAGACCTAAAATTTTGTATAAAATAAACTTAAAACAAACAAAAGGAATCCGTCCGACGGGGGACACATCAAAGGAAAAACAAAATTGTTATTTTTATTTAATTTCGAGTATTTTCATATTTATTTACCTTTTAAACGTTCCCTGGACTTCCATAAATAATTCAAGACCAAAATTAGCTAAATCGGTCCAGCCGTTCTCGAGTTTTAGCGAGACTAACGAACAGCAATTCATTTTTATATATATTACACGATGCTATTCCTTCACCATGGAAGTCAATCGTGAACATTTGTTGAGTACGTATTTCATTAGAAAAATTGTTACCCGCCTGAGATTCGAGCACCGGCGCATCGCACAACACGAATGCAACGGACGTCTTATCCTTTAGGCCACGACGCGCGACGACTTCTTTTTTTTTAAACAACATTTATATTAATTCTTACCTTTCCTGATCCAACAGGTCCAATTATAGCACAAAGTTTGCCTCTGCCTATTCTGAGAGTAATATTCCTTAGCGTCATTTCTGAAGTATCTGTTGATGACGACCATGTGGCGTCTACTTTAGATAATTCTATGGGATAGTCACACACGGCTGGGTCAGTTGAAAGCACTGGTTCTAAAATTTCAATTGAAAAAAAAAGTAATTGAAATCAATGAATACACTGATATTACATGTACAAAATATAACAAATTTACCATTCGTTAATGTTGAGGCAAGTTGGCCATCGGTGGCTAAATATTTCTTTGGGATAATTTCGTTTTGAGGGCCAAGCGATGCCTTGTTGTTGAAAATCAATCTATTATCATCTCCATAAGATTTTGGTGTTATTTGGACGTCCTCTCTTTCATCTGTAAATAAAAACAATTAATTGCAACGCAATTGCATTGAAATATTAGAAATCCTTTAAAGGCATTTTGATTTGGGTTTTTTGCTTGCTTTTTACCTTTCACCAAGAAATTTTGAATGCGTTCCAACGAGACCAGCATTTCAGACAAACTTGCAATGGCAAGAGGCAGTATCATAGTCAAATTGATTTGAATAATGCTGATGTATTGTTGAATAGGGTAAATCTGAAAATTAAGCCTATTTTATTTGACCGTATTAAAGCATCAGAATTCCGAATATTTCATTTCTATAATAAAGGCTAACCAGAGTAGCTGTAACAAGGTTACCCGTAAGTAAAAATGTCAAACATGTTATAAATATTATACTTCTTTCAGTGAACAGCATGAAACCAAGGAAAACACTCCGAATGAATATAGACTTCCTGAGTGCTATCATTTCGAAGTTTCTTGCCACCTTGACGATTGCTTGGAACGGTTTCTCCCATGCGTACATTTTAATAACCTAAAAATAAAACATAAATTTTATTCAATTTTAGAATTCAACAAAAGTGGTAAAAAAATTAAGTGTAAAAATACTTTACTAAATGTCAAACATGTTAGACAGATCTAACTTCTTAGTATTTTATTATTGACTAGCGACCCGCCCTCGCTTCGCTTCGGAAACATTAAAACACACATGAAATCAAAAAAATATTTTTTTTTTTTTTTTTAAAAGTTGCCTATGTTCATCAGGGACAATGTCGGCTTCTAATGGAAAAAGAATTTTTCAAATCGGTCCAGTAGTTTCGGAGCCTATTTGAAACAAACAAACAAATCTTTCCTCTTTATAATATTAGTATAGATTCTACGTACCTGAATGCCATTAATAATTTCCGTCATCAATTTTATTCTTCGGTCGGTTCTCTGAGCAGTTTCTCTTCTGACCACAGAGGTCAATTTTGTGAGACCAGCTAAAAATTATCAGTGAACTTGTAATTACACATACTTCTTTTATTTTTTTCTAGCTGACCCGGCAGACTTCGTAGTGCCTCAATCGATAAATAAAAGACCTAAACTTTTGTATAAAATAAACTTAAAACAAACAAAAGGAATACGTCCGACGGGGGACACATCAAAGGGAAACAAAATTGTTATTTTTATTTAATTCCGAGCATTTTCATATTTATCTACCTTTTAAACCTATTCTGGACTTCCACAAAATTAGCCAATTGGTCCAGCCGTTCTCGAGTTTTAGCGAGACTAACGAACAGCGATTCATTTTTATATATATAGATATAGATATAGATAACAATTAAATCTTATAGTGATTTCACGTTAATTTACCTTGTATAGGTAGAATTAAAATCACAACCCCAAAGAAGCCGACGAACGGTGCGTATCCCGCAGAAATATATAAGAAATATAGTACTACAGCCGCTTGAACTGGTACCACCCAGAGGTAGTGCAAAAACATGAATGCGTAGTCGAATCTAGCAACATCATTAGATAACAGGTTCACCAGTTTCCCTCCGCTTACATCTCCTAAGGCTACTTGGTCCATGCGCAACAACTAAAATAAATTAAATCAATTATAGTATGCGTGAAGTCAGAAGATATACGTAAGCATAGACAAATGAAATAGAAAAAGTGGAAAATATATTGTTTGTAAATATATGCGTTATATATTATTGCATTGCAGCAGATTTTTAATTACCAAAAATAGTTCAGTACCGTACGTAATATTTGTGTACTATTTATACAATTAAGTCTTAAGTCGTCGTGGCCTACAGGATAAGACGTCCGGTGCATCCGTCAGTCGCTATGCACCGATGTTCGAATCCCGCAGGTGAGTGCCAATTTTTCTAATGAAATACGTACTCAACAAATGTTCACGATTGACTTCCACGGTGACGGAATAACATCGTGTAATAAAAATCAAACCCGCTAAATTATAATTTGCGTAATTACTGGTGGTAGGTACTCTTGACTCTGCACGGGTAGGTACCACCGCCCTGCCTATTTCTGCCGTGAAGCAGTAATGTATTTCGGTTTGAAGGGTGGGACAGCTGTTGTAACTATAAGACCTTAGAACTTATATCTCAAGGTGGGTGGCGCACTTACGTTGTAGATGTCTATGGGCTTCAGTAACCACTTAACACCAGGTGTGCTCTGAGCTGGTTCACCCATCGAAGCAATAAAAAATAAAATTGCGGCTGAACGTAAGCACACTGATTATTGATTAAATGAATCGTGTGACTGGAAATTACATGGAAATTATATTTTTCTATATCGTTGTTTTTTACAATTGTGTGCGCCACAAAATATCTACTTAAATTCATTGTCGCGCCTATAATTGTTAAAACACTGTAAGTAAAGGATTGCTCTTTATTTAAATAATAAATATTTCAGATGCTTGTTATTAATTGTATTGTAATGCTTGTTATTAATTGTAATAAATATTTCAGATGCTTGCTATTAATTGTAATGGGTAAGAATATCAATAGAATATGGGGTCAAATATTTTACAAACTTACTTACCTTTCTATATACTAAAGATGAGCAAGCCACTTTAACCTTGAGTCCAAAGCGCGCTACAAACAATGAATTGTGATGTTGACACATCATATTAATGAAGTTTATACCTAAAAGTGCTAGAGCATAATAGCTTGCTTCTAGTCGAGTTATAGTTGCTTCTACTGACCAGTAGGAAAGCAGTTCGGCGAATACTAGCGGCTGAATTATCCTGCGTAAGTAAAACAAATCAAAATATGTAGTATAAATGTAAAAGAGAAGTCTTAAAGTTTTTTTTTTTTGTTTTTTTTCTTACCTATGCTGATAGCCTTGAGAGGCTATTTCAGCTTCTCCTTGACGTGTAGGTAAGCTCACGGGGCTTAAACCGGAAGTGTTGCTAACACTGGCTCTAGCAAGAGCAGTGCTTCGCAGAATCTACCACCGGATCGGAAACGCGACTCACTGAGAAGATCCGGCGAGGCACTCGGTGGGCTGTGTCTATGGGTTAATTCCCTCGCCGAGCCCTTCGTCGCAAGCGACCGGTTCGGTGAAGACGGTGACCGGTGCTTGAGGTACATAAAAGCACCGTTAATAGATCGGGAGGATCCGTAATGACGTGTTTAGGGCGATGTCGACTGTTATATATAATTTCCGGCAGCCACGACAAGAGGGCTTTTGTGTCGTGCCGCCTTCTCAAAGTGGCGCAATGATGCCGACTGTAAATACTTACTGACTGAGTCAAACTCCAGGTCATCATGGAGATCCACATTCCTTAGGAACCATGGTGCTTCGCCGACTATCCTACAAAAACGGGATTGAATGACTTGACGGAGCTTCAAGTTGCACCTATGCAAGCTTGCATAGGTGATGACGGGTTAATAATGTTAATTTGTCTCATGAAATATGAAAATGTCTACAAATGTATTAACAGGTCCTAAGTCGATGACTGCTTTCCTTTTACCTGAAGACAGATATGATTATCAAGTAGATAGCTCCCGGCATGTATCCCAACCAGTAAGCTTTTCGTAAAGCTGTCCACAATGACGGCTCCCTTTTCTCCTTTATCGCGGCCTCATATTCTTGGAGCCAATACCTAAAACGCATTTTAAATACATTAAATTACTTTCAAATTGCATTACATTCGTAAAGTAAAACATTTAAGATGGCCACAAACAAGAGGATATAATTTATAATGCCTGTTTCGGATAATTTGCAGCATTTGTGGCCTAGTAAGTAAACGCCCGATCTTGTATATTGTTCCCCAATGAGTATACCGTAGTTGTGAAACTCCGCCTGCAGGATGTAGATTTTTTTTCAAATTGCTTAGTTGGCATTTATTCACAACTTTTGTGATTGTACATAAATTTTTCTTTTAAAATAAAAACCAAATAATATATCGATTGGACATATTCTGCATTTCCATGAGGATGTATATTACAATCTTGTCTAGTGTTGCCACGACACTTTTAAATTCATTTATTTTGCATCTAGAAGTGTTTTTATCGTGTTTAGAATGAATACAATAATGGATGTAAAATATTTTCATACATTTACTTGTTTAGCCTTTTAGGCATGAAATCCAAATTAAGCGATCGGTATCAACCTTGTTACAACAACAACCATGCGTTCTGTTTTGAAGGGTGACATACATGATATTATTACATATATAAAAAAAAATGTGATTTACGAAAAAAAGTTATTATTTTGTTTTTTATGAAAATTAATCAGAAATATTTATTAAGTGTCTGATAAGAACAATGGGAAGATTTCCTACCGAGCAGCTGATATAGCTAACTAGACTTGTATGAAATAATAGCAGCTAATGCGAATCAAGTTCTTGTTGTATTCTTCTATTCTATAATAGGCTATAGTCAAATCGATTCCTCCAATCGATCGCTCATTGCTGAGTATTGCGACGCGCCCGTGATGACATATCTCAAAAATATAATCTATACTAATATATAAATCTACAGTGGTTTTTACGGATGTTCCGTTATAACTACTGAACCATGCATCCGATTGACTTGAAACTTGGTATCCATGTAGAAAATACATGTACTTAATGGATAGATTAATATTTATATGAGTGTTGGACTCCCTACACCGGTTGCGGGGGCGTTAATGATGAGAATCTTCGTGGGGGTGAGAAATAATAATGTTAATTTTAAATGCCCAACGAAGCGGACGGGTACCGCTAGTCTACTACAAAAATACAATTTTAATCCAAATAGCTAATAACAGTTCAATGCATGTTATTATCATGCGCCACATTCGTTTCTTATCGTTTATAAATTATCGCCTTGTACATTTACGCCACTCAATAAAATACTCACGATATTTTCTACAAATCCGTATACCCTAAACGAGCACCCTAAGTAGTATACTTTATATGTACTAATTATAAATTATTATTATGTTTTACACGTAGACAAAGAAATACGTAAAAAAATCAATTTTACCTTTCTAAATACTCTCCTTGATTTTCAGAATTATATGACTTTTTCGGAATTATGAGGTCATCCTCGACAATGTCTCTTTGATTTCCTTTAACAAGTACGGGGCACATCCACCATAGAAATAAACGAGACAAAATGTTCGGCTTATGGGGCTTCTTTCGCGTCTCAGCACTAGAATTTTCTCCGGTTCTCCCATCAGCATTCATTTTTACAATTCACAGTTATTAAAATTTTGCGATAAACTAACATAAGACTATTGGTAAGTACTACAGCATGATTCCTGAGGACAAACTGTAGTACTAGATATTAAAGCAATGAGACAGGCAAAGGAATGATAATCATTATATTGCAATACTTAAACTCCGGGTCGCTTGTGATTACGCATCGTTTTATCAAATTATCGATATGATTAGGTTTTTTCGAGTTTAATAAGAGGCACTAGGGCGAATATAATATGTTTATGTATATATAAAGTTACTGTCCCGAAACTGAAAGGGAAATTATTTATTACAGAACACAAACTAAAGGCTTTATCGATAATTATAGCAAAAATAAATGTCAATTTCTTAGTTCGTATTTGTGAGCCCGCATTCTAAAGGGGTCTACCCGATGTTATGCAGGCGAAGTAAGTTGTCCCTTAGAAATAAGGTGACACTCTACAAAAGTTGCATACGCCCTATCATGAGCTATGCAAGTGTAGTGTTCGCTCACGGGGCCCGCACAAACCTAAAACCACTTCAGCCGTCGGAGCCCCGTGGTTCGTCAGGAACGTCGACCTCCATGACGACCTGGACTTAGAGTCCATCAGTAAGTGTCTTCAGTCGGCGTCGATGCGCCACTTCGATAAAGCGGCACGACACGAGAGACCTCTCATCGTGGCTGCCGGTAACTACATTCCCGAAAGCAGTCGACGTGGCTCCAAACACGTCATTTCGAATCCTCCCGATCCACTAACGGTGCTTTTAGGTACCTCAAGCACCGGTCATCGTTGTTGTCGAACCCATCGCTTGCGACGAAGTGCCCGCCGAGTAAATTAACCCTCAGACACAGCCCACTGAGTTTCTCGCCGGATCTTCTCAGTGGGTCGCGTTTCCGATCTGGTGTTAGATTCTGCGAAGCACGGCTCTTGCGAGGGTTCGTGTTAGCAACGTCGTCATGTTTGAGCCCCGTGAGCTCACCTACTAGTTAAGGCTACGCTGAAATAGCCTCTCAAGGCTCTCAGCTAGGTAGAAAAAAAAAACTAAAGGGCGTGCCATCTCAACGTGTCGATATTTGAGACAATCTCAGTTACCCTAGCCAATTTTCAATGCGAACAAAAATATCTAATTGACATAAGCTATGGCAAAAAAATCTTGTCTAGTTTTTGCCAACTCCGTACATCTTTACTGTACTGTTTGTTACAAAAGTTAACACTCCTGGAGCGCATGCCTCATATGACGTCGTAATACAGTTTAATTTTATTTCTATTTGAGGGATAATTTTATTTCTTACTATAGTTTAAACTTCAATCAAGAAAGTTTGTCTTCTATACCGTAACCAATTATTACCATATCGTATGTCTCAAGATTTCAAATAATTTATAAAACACACCTTCGCCTTTAAGTTTCAGCATAGCAATCTATGACGTATCATGGAAGCATCGGTGCGCTGTTCAAGGGTACCTTATGTGTCATCAGGACTATATAATGTGCTTATATTTATCAATATTTTGTGACACAGCATAATAAACTTATCGAACTAAATTACTGCAGGCTAATTCAATCGGTATTTCTCCGCAGATCAACGATAATTACAATCTAAGTGAAATAATCGTTTCGGGATATATTGTACTGTAACAATATTGATAACTGATAACGCGGTCTGAGTCACGAGTGTCACGACACACTTTAAAATTAATACATTGAACGAAGATGGTCATAGCGATTGCCCGTGTACGAAAACAGTTTTGAGTGCAAAACGACATAAATCAAACATAATATTATGTAATCGTTTTTTGATGTAGATTGTATATACAGTTAATAGTTCAATTATTTCTCATTATCCAATATACGCCAATTCCAAATATGCTTATTATCAATAGAAATTATTTTCTTTTTAATAACAGATCACTGAACGGATCACGGATATGTACGCATTTTATCCGAAAAAATAATTATTGGTACGGCGTATTCTGTATCCACACGGGCACGTGCCACCATTCTATTTCTCTCGTAAAGCAGACCTACGTTCGTGTTGAAGCGTGAAACAACCCTAAGGTGGATGATGGCATCCACATCGTATTATCATTTAGGCTCCAATAGGTACATGTTACCAGATGGCCCATGGGTACGTTTTTTTTTTGGTCAGGAGGAAATCGCCGGACTTCCGCCTTCCACTGGGGATGGAGGGCGGGGCATGTCAGAATCGAACTGACTAAAACATCCTGTCGCTCAACAAACAACGTCCAAACCTTGCATGAGACAGAACTCATGAAAAGGCAAAGGGGGGAAAGTGAAGCGCTTAGTGCGGAGCACATCCCTCCGCCACGGCGCCGACGACCGGTCGTCGTCGGTGCCACGACCACCTCTCGGCCGGCAGGCTATCCGAAGCCCGCCTAGATGGCGCCGGTTAGAGTGAGCTATTCTATGGAATACTCCGCTTGACCAGAACCAGTGTGGGTCGAGGATAGCCGGCCTTCCATCACCCGAATGCTCTTGCGTAAAACGCGTGCAGAGCAGCTTGCTGTCTTCTTAGGTCCCCCTCGCCGGTTCCCAGGCCGACATGTGAGGGAGACCCGAAACACTTAGAGGGCCAGAGCTTGGGCAAAATCCGCCTCCTTGGCCCTCGTTCGACGGCGGCGGATGGTGCACTCGCAGAAGTCGAGCATCGCCTTCCACGACTCGTCGTCACCTAGCATCGATGCCACAACACTCGGCAACGACAAGTCGTTTCCTATTTTTGCGACGAGGACACGGCGTCACCCCTCCTATGCGGGCAGGCGACTAACGTATGCTCTGCTGTGTCCAAGTCGCAACCACAATGGTGGCACTCAGCCGCCCGTGGGTACGTAAAACCTTTTTGCTATGAATGGACATTTTTTTGCTGTGAGTGGACAGACGATCTCTCAGCACCCTTATTACCGATTACGGTACCCCATGAACGCCATTACAGAATGGCAAATTCTAATAAATAAAATGGGGTTTACAAGCTACAGCGTGGCACCTTTTTTAGAATACAATTGAAGACGCACTTCTTAGCAATTTCTTCTTGTCTAGACAATTTATTACTGTCGATATTTTATCAATATTCAATTGCACACTATTATATATCTTATCTACTAAATAAATAAATTATATGAAACATTAATTAGAACCAATCGTGCGACTCCTGTTGTATTTTAATGATAACTTTAATGCTTAAATCTTGTGTAACAAAGAACAACCGCGCAAAGATTTCAATAAAGTTAAGTGAAATATGCGTCAAGCTGTTGAACATAGAACCCAACGTTCTATAATGTTACCTAGTAGCATCTTCATTATAAAACATCTCGACTTGCTGTGGAATCATTGACATTTATAAGGAAACCAGCTGTACCCGTCTGCTTCGGTGGGCATTTAAAATTAACATTATTATTTTCCACCTCCACAAAGATTCTCATCATTAACGCCCCCGCAACTGGTGTAGGGAGTCCAACACTCATATAAATATTAGCCTATCCATTAAGTACATGTATTTTCTACATAGATACCGAGTTTCAAGTCAATCGGATGCACGCACGGCTTAATAGTTATAACGGAACATCCGTGAAAACCACTGTAGATTTATATATTAGTATAGTTTATAAGGAAATTAAAAATACGCATTATATTTTTGAAGTCGTCGTGGCCTAAAAGATAAGACACCCAGTGCGTTCGTATCTAGCGATATGCCCGGTACATTTCGAATCGCGCAGGCAGGTACCATTTTTTCTGATGAAATACGTACTTAACAAATGTTTGGGAAATTGGTGAAATTGGTGAAAAAATTATAATTTGCGTAATTACTAGTGGTAGGACATCTTATAGGGCCCGCACGAGTAGGTACCATCGCTCTGGCTATTTCTGCGTGAAGCAATTAATGCGTTTCGGTTTGAATGGTGGGGTAGCCGTTGTACTCTAAAAGCCGACATGAAATACATTTCTCAAGTTGGGTGGCGTCATTTACGCTGTGCTGTGTTTGTCAATAGAAACCGGTGACCACTTATCACAAGGTGGTTCCTGAGCTCATCCACCCATATAAGCAATAAAAAAAAACGCAAATCAGAAGCTTCAACTGAACCAGTTTTATTAGATTTATAATCACACATAAATATTGAGTCATCAATACTTTGTCCAAATCGAGATGAGATGCACAATCAAGATTAAAATTTAATTAGGCTTTTCCAATGTCAAATTATGTTTCTCTTGCAATAGAATTGAGCTGCTTGTCTTTCTTGTTACCCTTTTTAGCAGACAGTAGACAGCAGAGTAGATCAAAAATATTTTAAAGAATGTACTGGGCACACGTTAGAAGACAAGGAATCGCAAGTGCATTCTGACTGCATTAATTTTTGCTCAATATTGTCAACAAGCAACTTCACGTGACAGACGGGAACTTTATTACAATCACAAATTCCAGATGTTAATCCGGTAGTGTCATTTTTTAACTCCACAATTTCGTGAATTTCCGAATGTAACTGTGATTTGGTTTTATCAAATGATTTCTGAAGCTTAAATGAAGGTTGAGCTTCAGACCATTCTTCTATATCATTATCTGATAAACAAGTTTCTAAAGTATCACTGTCATCAAATGTATTTGTCATCTCATTGAAATTTACGGCAACATTACAAACTTCAGTAGACACTTTTAAAATTATATTGTCTACACTAGGTGCATCAGTCATGGTTTCACAAGCTTGCTCTTCTTTCTTCATTAGTTGTTGTTGTTCTTCCTCAGATCTTTCAAGGTCAAATACTTGTTTGTCTTTACCGGAATAAACACGCGAGAGCATGTTGTCCATCAAGCGTGTACTATCCAATACGTATTTATTGTTTTCGCGCAGAAATGTACTCCACAGGTCTGCAATCTTACTCGTATTCTGTTTAACAGCAGATTTTATGCATATGCAGGATCCAATATTTTTGTCGCAAACACAGTCAATGGTACAACCTATGTAAGGCAACGGTTCTACAGAATCAGTTAATTTGTTAGACGTATTTTTACCAACAACATTGACTATGTTTTGATTATAGTTTAAAGCATTATTTTGATCTTTATCGACTGTCTGGCTGTCAGGCTGGAAAGTATAAGTATTAGCCTTGTTTTGTAATATATTTTTAGATTCATTAGGTAAAACTTTATCTACGAGTAATTCCAAAACTTTACCTATAGAGGTTAAGTTACCAGATATAGATCTACTAAAATTTTCTTCATCCAGGTCAAACCCAACTAACTTAGATATATTATTGTTGCTCATTTTGCTAATTTGCACCGCTTTGGTAGCACTTTCTACCATTTTTTTGTCGTTTACTATGAACGCTTGACATGACATCGTGTTAGTTTCAGTTTTTAATCCCAATCGATCAGATTTCGTTACTTCAATGCTTTTTTTATATTTTTGGATCATAGGGTGATTTGTGTCTTTTTCAGGAATATCTTCACCTATTTTTCTATCACTTTTATTTTTATATAATTCTTGTATTCGTCTAAAATCGTATTCTATTAAACTAGAGATTCTAGTTAAAAGTCCATCCATACAAGTTGTCTTAGTTGTACCTTTATCTAAAGCACAAGTACATTGAGCTCGTTTCATTTTTGCCTTTATGTATTCTTGTAAGAGACTGTATGCTCTGTCCCAGCTTCCTTCCGGCGGTTCACCCGCCGAACACGTGCAAGAAATTTTGCACTCTGCCTCAGATATGGTTTCTTTAATTTTTTTAAGTATTTTCAACATAATTTTTTCTTCTTCCTGGAATGGAATGCTGTCAGTTTCACAAGTAGCTTTAAACTCTTGCAACTTTTTCCTTAAATATTTTTCCAGTAAAAAAAAAGTATTTTCTTCCAAGTCTCTGGAATCAATGTTGGTAGTATTTGATGAACAAAGAGACGAACTTTCTTTTTGTTTTTCTTTGATAGCAATTGCGTCGTCGTTAGTTTGGTTCATGTTTTCATTTATTGGAATATTATCCTCTTTTAAATTTATTTCATGACATATATTAGTAACAGCGTCTTGGCAGTTCATGTTGAATATTTTAGTCGATACTGTTTCAGGGTCATGAACAGGCTGAGTTGTTTCTTGGAAGTTTGAAGAATTAAATACATGTTTTTGTTCATTATTACCAGAAGTTACTTTATTTTCATCCTTAGACGTAGTATCTGTTAATGTAACTCCAAGTAAGTTTATTGAAAACTTACAAACACATGGAACGTCTTCAGGGGTACCATTACTATTAGACTTTGTTTCAATATTGAATTTCTTCTCTGAAACCAGGTTCTGTACTGACTTTTCTGATTGAGTTTTGTTAGTTTGAGTAAAACTACAGAGATCATTTATCTGCTTTGGCATTGTTTGTTGTTCACTAGTAATTTTATCTGATTGTATAGTTTTTCCACATTGACATTCTGCACTATTGACGCATTTATAGTTAGATCTTAAAGTATTGTTCCCTTCAACTTCTAGATTTTCTCTATCAATAAAATCGCTTGGAATACATTTACAAGATTTTTCATAGTTTATTGTGCCCATAAACTCAGACTCAGTAGCTTTCGGAATCGTCGAAGACTTGCTTATAATAATTTCTTCTTTCTCTTCTACTTCATCGAGCTTAGAACCTGAATCTTTCTTGTTTTTACTGTCAAAACTCGTCTTAGTAGTTGACTTTACTGGGGAGGATACACTTTCTACATTTTGTTCAACAACTTTTTCGGAAGTATTTAGTTCGTTTTTATATGTAGCCAGAGTTTTCAACAAAGCGTCTATTGATGTATTTGATGGAATCTTATGTAAACAGACGCAACCACTTTGACACGAGCGATGTATCGGTGATGTTCCGTTTTTCTTGAGTTTATCAATTACAGGTGAAGATGTAATTGTGTTTATGGGTTTTGTTTGTTTGATACTTGAAATTTGAGGTGCAACAAAATCTTTTGAATCTCTTTGGACTTTTTGTTTCACTTTCACTTTATCCTTGTTCAAAGCCATTCGTTGCGCATTACCGCGATGATTAACTTTGCTACTATCTTTTTTATCAGTATCACAGAGACATAAATTCACAGCAAATGAATTGTTCACTTTTTCAATATTTTTTTGAAATTTATCCTGTTTTTCATTATAATTACGGGATGTCGAAGATATATTTTTAGATCGAGCTTTAGATAACTTATTTTCCACCACAGCCGTTTTCTTAACAGTATTAAAGCTTCTGTTTTCATTGTGTCCATCATATGTTGCGTTTAAATACGGTTTATTATTATTCAAGCGACTATTTTCATTATTGGAGAGTACAGCGCGATCACTGGGTCTTACCTAAAAATATTTTACTAAATGAGAAGAAATATTAACAAATCTTTACGGAAAAATGTCAGTTCACTATTTTCTATGCGGTAAGTAAGTACTTGTTGGTACCACCATTACTTTAATGCAATTGAGATTTTGAATGCATCTGAGTGATGGTATCTTTGAACTACGATGTCTACTTTGAAAATGAGCTATGAGCTCGGCTGCCCATCTATATTAATATAAGACAAAATTATATAATGACTCTAGGACGATAATGGCAGGTACTAGCGACAGTCTACAAGCTAGTGACCCGTCAGACACGTTTTAACGTACACACAGTGAATTATAAGCCTAAATTTGTTTTTCAGCGTCAAGAAAGTTCGATTTTTAATTAGGATATTCTTCTTTATGTAGTAATAAGAAGAAAATAGACAGTGTAAATAAGTTAACCTTCTTGTGATCTTCTAACTGGACTCTATATTGAGTGAGGTCTTGTCTAACAAATCGATTCAATTCTCTCGTAGTATCGTCTAATCTTTCGCCGTCAAAAGGCGCTTCGTTCACCACGCAAGGGTATGCAACTGTAATATGTTTAGTAAACGTAATTATAAACACGCTAATTTCTAGACATAATTAAACCAAAAATCAATATCGTAAGCAGCGGCTTGGCTCTGCCCCTACTGCCTACGATATTACCATGCCCATTGCTGAAGTCCATTGGCGACAGTAGCCACTCACCATCAGGTGGGCCGTATGCTCGTCTGCCTACACGGGCAATAAAAAATAAGTTAAATTATTAAGGTGAAAAGTATATTTTCGGTAAAATAGTCAAACAATAGGTTTCACTGGTGGTAGGACCTCTTGGGAATCCGCACGGGTAGGTACCACCACCCCGCCTATTTCCGCCGTGAAGCAGTAATGCGTTTCGGTTCGAAGGGTGGGGGAGCCGTTGTAACTATACTGAGATCTTAGAACTTATATCTCGAGGTGGGTGGCGCATATACGTTGTAGATGTCTATGGGCTCCAGTAACCACTTAACACAAGGTGGGCTGTGAGAGCTCACATCCACCTAAGCAATAAAAAAAAAAAAAAAAAAAAACAGGGTCCTTTGTTCTAAGTGCGTGAAGTAATTTAATATAGTAATTTAATGTAGCCCTGTTAAAAAGAAATTTCAAAGGTTTCATCAGTCATATTCAACGATATAATAAACAGCAGCAAAACTTCGGCCTTATGTTTATAAAAGCGTTACATAAAAGTTATCATAAATTAAACCTTTTTTTTTTTTTTTTTTTTTTTTTTTTTTTTTTTTTTTTTTTTTTTTTTTTTTNGTACCACGAACACAGAAACAACAAAAGGAAACAAAACAAATAAAAACTTCCAGAAAGAGCACTTAGTCGGCAGATGTACCACGAACACAGGCCGCGCGAACAATGGCCGGGCTAACAAAAGCCGGGCGAACAAAGACCGGGCGATCGAGTGGACGATGAGCACGTCCGCACGTGACGGGTGCCTCTATCGGAATGAAATTAAACCTGATGGCGGTTTGCAGTCACAAGGGTGGCCAGATTTGACAATATCCCTTGCTTGTTGTACAATCTGGTCAGCCTGTTGTTGAAACAGTTGTTCTGCAAGTTGCGTGGCTAATTTCTGTGCGCGACATTCTATAGCGTGCTGCTGCCAACTTTCATTCGTATCTTCAGTTTCCATGGTTAACTTGGCTTCATCAACACACGAAGCACCGACCCACTTAAAATATTCACATACAGATCGTTAAACTGGTTATAATAAATTTAAGCAATAACGTATAAAGTTAAACTGAATTTTTTTTTCGTTTATTTAAATCGATCAAGGAAAGTATTACGATTACGCATTGAATGAAATTGCATTTCCAATGAAGATAAGCAATATAATTGAACAAATTAAGAACGAGTTAACATTGTAGTTGGTTTACAATTACAATTACTTTTTCAGTCGAATAAATTTGAAGTTTAAAATCAATAAGATTTTAAAATATTAACCTGAGCATGATACTTTTCGATAGACGTTCCTATGGCAATATCCAGCTCGCCAGTGAGCAGAGTCGAGAAATAATTTTTAATGTTAGTTTTTACTACACTAGATTTATCCCAGTTATATTTGTCTTCTAAGCACTTCAGTAACTGGCACGGCATTTGCGAACCTATATCTCCAAGCTCTTCTTGTAATCCTCGAAATAAGTCCGACAATAAATTCGAAAATAGCTTGCTGCGGAGTGACGTGCAGGAACATGAGTCCTGCCAATAACATAGGGTCAGTATGAGATTGATTAACAAATGGAAACAAGAATTTTTAATTAGACATTTGGAAGAAAACATCCCAGAAAAATAACATGAAGATAATATTCTAAATAACTATCCGGACACGCCATAATCGTGTATCTTTATATTCTGTTTCTATTCTATGGCTGTTAAAATCGTGATATAACTTAATTATACTCGGTTACAGCACAGAATATTCATACCGTCATTTTGTCAGGGGAACAGCTGCACGTGGCAGCTAGAGAGGGAGTTCGCTTCACTTCGACAGTTACATCAATCGGTAATTTACATTGACAATCGATAACTTTTTCCCTTAGCTTCTTGAGTTCTTCTTTCTTAGACTTCAACTCATCTAGCTTCCCCTGCATCCGATCATCGCACATAATTTTACAACCTTCTAGATCTTCCACCATCTCTAGTTTTGTTTGACGCAACTGTTCCAGCTATTGTAACAACAAAATTCATCATCAATTTTTATAATATCGCTGCTGATTAATTTAAATATTAAGTCAATCTTATCTAATCTACATTGTAAGGGTTTTTACTGTAGACTGTAGATATCTGCTATTTACAGCAATCACAGATTTGTTAAGTCTTCTTAAAATATATTATAGCTCTAATTTGTTTGCTTAAGTAGGAAGAAAAGCAAGTGTTCCACCTGATTTTATACTTACCAGAAATCTTAGACATTACAACGTGAATATCGCTCATTATCTTCAAATTGATTAAGTGTGAATTGCACTGGTAAAGCAAATAATTCACCCATTCAAGCCGAGAGGAATGAATGTAACGGTGGCAGCAATATGCCGGATGGTGGCATCTACTCATACGCGATGGCAGCATGCTCCACAAGAACATAAGATGCTGTCTAATTGCGATTTGAAATAAGAGTTTCTCTTTCTCGCAGATTTAGATTTGAAAGTCGCAAATTAAATGTAACGGTGTGTTAAAGCTGGACATTAATGATATTAAAGGACTATTTTTTTAATAATCGAAATCTACATATCATCAATGACAATTTGGAGTACCTACTTTGACGCTTAAGTTATTTTAAATAGATTACTTTTCGATATTGCTATCCGGCTCATTTAACTATTTACTTTCATCAATATCATCAGCATTTTTACGCTTAATTATTTATATTCACGTAGATTTAATCAATTTCAAATAGACAATCAACAATTTACTGAATACTTAAAATCAATCGTATGGGCGCTACTTCCGATCAAAAAATGTACATAAATCTCTCCTTCAAAGTTCTGCTTTCCCAAAACCATTTTCTATTATTATTACTGACAGTTTGTTACCGAACACAAAGTGCTAATTTAATTATAAGCACCTCATTTTTTATCCTGCAATTTTCAGCATCTTCCTCCAAAAGTTGAGTGGATACATTCGTCATTTGATCACGTAAAGCGCCTAGTTCATCGCGCATAGCACGCTCTGCTTCTATAGCAAGTGCTCTGGCAGATTCCGCGTCACTTGAAATTGTGGATAGTTTTCGTCGTACTTGCTCTTCTTTAAACTATTCATTCATGAAAAGACATTAAGAACGTTAAGTTTTAATTATTTTTACAGTGCTCTCTATAATATAGGCTTCAGCTAAGGAATTCTTATAACACTTACGACAAATCATAAATTGAACTATTTTACTTAAAACGTCAGGGATAGATTTTATTCGAATATTAAAGGTAGACAAAATAAACAAATAAATGAATAATCTGAATTTTACATCTGGTTACTTTGTGTCAGAAATGGAATACATAGTAATCCCAGCACGGGTGAGCCATCAAAGACTTAATTTCAATGTTTAATAAGAAATTAAATATCGGGTAACAGTTTTTTTTCCCTACCTAATCTGATAACCTTGAGAGGCTATTTCAGCGTAACCTTAACTAGTAGGTGAGCTCACGGGGCTCAAACCGGAGTGATGACCCTAGCAAGAGCAGTGCTTCGCAGTCTCTACCACCGGATCGGAAACGCGACCCATTGAGAAGATCCGGCGAGAAATTCAGTGGGCTGTGTCTATGGGTTAATTCGCTCGTCGAGCCCTTCGTCGCAAGCGACGGGTTCGACCAGGACGGTGACCGGAGGGTAACTGTATGACAATCTTTTTAATGGAGGCCTAAGAAAAGAACTTCACGGTTGGCACCGGCTCAGCTGTATTCCTGACATTGTCGACGTCCATGGGCACGAACACGTACAGAAATGCATGGTAGGAGGGTACTTGTCTATCTGAGGATTTCAAAAAAGCAATAATAAAAAACTATTGTCTTACTCTAAGGTCCCTGGTGAGCTGCGCCGACTTACACTGTGCATCTGCGAGTACTGCATCACCTCGTGCCATTTCTTCACTAAGCTTCAAACGGATACAAGCGCGACTGTTGATTTCTTTTTCTACATCTTTAAGACGCGAGCGATCCTTTTCAGCCGCTTCCACTTTACATTTTAATTGTTCGGCCATCGTCGTACAATCGTTCTTATACCCGTTCCGATCTTCTATGATTTTTTTTATCTGTGACATTTTATTTATTAGTGCCATTCGAATATTATTTTTTCTAATAAAATGCGATTCTAAAATTCTAATAATTTTTATTAACATTATTTAAGAGCAACAGCTTCTGAAACCATTTAGATGTTTTTCGAAATAATTCAGAATTATACGTAATATCACCTGTGAATTATGTAATTTTTTTTACACCTTGTAATTGTCGTTACGATTACAAGAAAATAACCAACTGAATTGTTTTTACATTCAGATGTGTTTTTCTTCGTATTTCGTATGCATTCAAATGTCATTTACTTTAAAATTATAAAAAATTGTCACATATTGTTATTTGTTCATGTAATTTATGATAAGTATGTAATAAAGTGTTCTTTGCACCTTTTTTATTTTCAATGGCACACGACCATAAAACTCACCCGACGGTTAGTGTTCACTATCGCTCATGGACATCAACAGCAACAACGTTGCCATTAAATGTGAATAATTATTTTAATTTCTGACAATTGTAAATACTGTATTGTCTATTTTGACTACTACTACAAACACATATCACTAAGGGTAATAATTAATTGTCGAAAACGTGGACAGGTGGTAATGCTGATGAAGTAAGAGAAATTTAAGAGAGTAGACGAATAAATAGTAAAGGTAGGCAAGGTAGTAAATATAGGTAAATAAATGGATAGTTTGGGAGGCTTAAACGACGAAGGGAAAGATCTTACACCGAGCGGGTGATATTTGCTCGGTAAACCGACGGTCCGGGTGTTGTTGTTCGGAACTTGTATATATGCCGGCTTATCTTTGAAAATGTCGTAAGCGAGATTCAGGCATCTGTCAAATATCTTGCGTTGAATGATGGCTACCGCCACAGATAGTAAATAATATGGAAGATATTCGACGGCCCCAATCTATGATATTCTCCTATAGTATAATATAGTATATAACATGTTTGCATTGTACTTTTGGTTTCCTAAATAAATAAGTACCGCCAAAACAAATACGGCCTAAATACTCCGACCGGTAATCGAACCCAGACTCCGTGGCATAGTAATCACGGTCACTAACCACTCCACCGTTGAGGCAACGTACGAAAACCAATATACATATATGTATGTAAAATTAGACATGCCTCGCGGTTCAACTCACGTTATTAATGTTCAGAATTGAGTTTGTAATTCAGAAAGAATTCAACGTGTGTATTTTCCCAGTATAAAAAGTTGCATATATCCCTATCCGGTTTAAAAACAACCTGTTTATCTACCAAATATTAGTAAAACAAAATAACAAGCTGTCGTATTTATTACAACGTATAGGTAATTTTGTGCAAAATTTCATAGAGATCTATTCAGCTATCTTTGCGTGATTGATTAAAAACTCAAACATAAACACCTTCACATTTTTAGAAATTGCTATTATAGATTAGTGCAGTAAATGTGTAGTTATGTAGGTATATTAGATTAGTAAATATGTAGGTAGTATAATAGACAACACCCCTTTCGGTAACAGGATACTCTGCCAAATCGTTTATGTCCGTAGAAATGATGCAAAAGTAAATCAATAAATAAATTGTTGGACCTGTTTAGTCAAATCTTCTTCCTTCTCTTCCGCAAGCGTCAATCGCCTCTCATAACCCAGTTCTAAGTCCTTCCAAGCTGCTTCTGCGCGTTCGAGTAATTCCACGCGTTCGGCCTCGCGTCGCGCTAATTTAATTGCGCGCGTTCTAAGCTCATTCGTCGTAGCTTCCATTGCCGCTAAGCGTTCCGCGCAACCAGAGTCTAAGCAACAAGCCTAAAACGTATGCACATATGTTAATTTACACGAGATCATGATATTTAGCTTAGAATTTCATTTGGCTATCGAAACGAAAAAAAAAAAAAAATACATTGGACCCCGTACGAACCATGGGCTCTCTCACAAGCCTACGCAATATATCTATGTATATATTAATACGTGAAGCAAAAACTTTGTACCCCTTTTTACGAAAATTGCGCGAACGGAGCAGTATGAAATTACCCTCACTTATAGAGAATATAGAGAAGGAGTGCACAATACTAATTTTTTTTTTAAATATACATAAAAAATAGATTAAATCAATAAATAAAAAATTACGCACACTACCATGTATTTGACACACATACATATAAATATACTCATTGTTTATTGTCAATTGTCAAACTTTGATAAAATTGCGGTCAAATTCAGAATAGATGAATATTGTTTGTCTTTAATGTTATTTATCTATAGTGTATTAACATTATAGTCGAATTTCGACTACTCCGGGACTACTAGTTAAAACATATTATACGAGACAAGAACAAGCACACCCAGAAATCGAATGGTACCAGGTACTATGTTTCAATATAAGGTCTATGTCTCAATTTTATTGTATTAAGCAATGTCTGTACATTGACTTCCCACCCTTCAAACCGAAACATATTACTGCTTCGCGGCAGAGTTAGGGCGGTGTCGTATGTAGGTTTTAAGAAAAAAAAATTGGATTGTTTTTTTAATTTGATATGCGGTGCTTACTGATATTGAAATTAGTTTTTTTTAATCGCTTAGATGGGTGGACGAGCTCACAGCCCACCTGATGTTGAGTAGTTACTGGAGCCCATAGACATCTACAACGTAAATGCGCCACCTACCTTGAGATATAAGTTCTAAGGCCTCAGTATAGTTGCAACGGCTGCCCCACCCTTCAAACCGAAACGCATTACTGCTTCACGACAAAAATAGGCAGGGCGGTGGTACTTACCAATGCGGACTCACAAGAGGTCCTACCTCCAGTAAGCAGATTTATTTATAAGACACAATTATATTAGCTCACAAGTGACATAGTCTATATTCGCACAGATAACACACATAAATTGAAATAGTCGGTACCAAAACGCTTACAAATACATCTATGCATCATGAAACGTCATTCAACTCACAGCGTCGATTTTGGTCATGATATCTTTCTCTTGTTCCTTCGACTTTTCTTTCGCATTTGACTGTCGTGCAGTCGTCGATGTGTTCTCCAGCCTCATAACTATCTTGGTCTGAACAGGCAATTTAATAACAGGACCAACAGGCGACGACGAATATGCTAACTTCTCATTTTTAATAGCCGAATACCTAAATTCATTCTGCGGTTCATAATAATTTAAATTACTTCCAATATTAGCGGTTTCCGTCGATAAATTTACTTCATTTACACAGTGTTTTTTTCTGCAATTCGCTTCATTTTCTTCAGTTTTTCTAGTTTCATAGAATCTGAAACGATCCATAAATTATTAAACGAGGGAAATTAATTATAAAAAAAAACGTCACAATTCATAGAATTCTATTTACGAACAATAATTAAACAAGAGCCGACATTGGAAATAATGAGTCCATTTGAACCCTGCACCCGCATCAATTTTAAGGCCGATTGCGATTGGTAATTACGGTGTTAATTCAAACATAGACACGAATCAGCGGTCCCATGATGAATTATGTATTGTGAAAGTACATACTGGTGGAGGCTGTCGCCGCCGCGGTGCCCGAGCCGTTGCCAGGCGAGAAGAGCGCACGCGAGGTGACGACCTTCAGGGTCCTCAGACAAGAACATATTCACTTCTCTAGGATTCTGATCTAAACGCTCCTGAGCGGTAACTAAAGCTTTCTGTACCAACAATCAAATAAAATATCAAAAGTTTTTCTAAAAACCCGCCAAAACTTCGTTAATTCTAACAGCGAAAGCGCACCATCACTATCAAGAAATATTCTGTATGACAATAACAACAGTAACAATAGTAACTATACTGAGACCTTAGAACTTATAACTCAAGGTGGGTGGCGCATTTACTTTGTAGATGTCTATGGGCTCCAGTAACCACTTAACACCAGGTGTGCTGTGAGCTCGTTCACCCATATAAGCAATAAATAAAAAATACACAATTGGAGGAATGACTTACAGACATACAGTGTTTAAGAAAATAGAAGGTTGCGATAAATACATGAGCTTACGCTCTACCTAGCTTCAACTTAACCCAAGGGCCCATAGACATCAACATGAATGCAACAACTTCGATGCTGAGTCATGAAGTCGAATTATAGAGTATAGCATAATGACTCTACCCTGTCCAAACCAGAATACATGACCGCTTCATGGCTTAATAAGCAGGATGGTAGACAGCTGTGAGAGCTTACTGTGTGCTTTATCGCCAATAATTTATTATTATTGTAAATTTCTAAATTTTACGGATAATTATTACTCGATATACCTAATCCATTCGTCGTGGAAGTCCTGCGCGAACATGATTTTTACTTAAACTATACAAAGCCCGATACTCCGTAAATTTAACCCCAATTGCTTATTGAGAAGTTACCTTTAAATTAAGATCTGGATTAATTTCGAGGGCCTTCGTAATATTCCATATTATGAGACTACTCATCGATGATTTCTTTTCAATATCCGTATTGAGTTTTGTTATATTCTATTTAGAAAAAAATATATCAATATTCTTTTAAATTTCTATATATTTGATTTATTTATTTTGAATAAAAAAATATTTTATTGTTTCTCACATTTTGACATGGTTTCTCCTTATTCTGCTTCATTGTTATTTTTTTCGAATTTTGTTACAGAAATAAAATCAAAATTTACATGAACGAGTATTTTTTTTCAATTTGACACTTTCTTCTGCATGTTTAATTTTCAGATTATACTCTTATTCTCTTCGCATCTTTTGATTTAAAATAGGTTCTAACGTGATGAATATAATTTGTATTGTTCTCTTTTACTTAATATGATTCACATACCCGATCCTGTAGACCGAATGGTAAACAGTCGACGTCGCCCAAAACACGTTATTACGGATCCTCCCGATCCATTACCGGTGCTTTTAGGTACAAGCACCGGTCACCGTCCTCGTCGAACCCATTGCTTGCGATGAAGGGCTCGACGAGTGAATTGATCCACAGACACAGCCCACTGAGTTTCTCGCCGGATCTTCTCAGTGGGTCGCGATTCCGATCCGGTGGTAGATTCTGCGAAGCACGGCTCTTGCTAGGGTCAGTGTTAGCAACACTCCGGTTTGAGCCCCGTGAGCTCACCTACACGTTAGGGTGAAGCTGAAATAACCCCTCAAGGCTATCAGCATAGGTAGGAAAAAAAAGTAACATACATAGTGATTCACTCCTCTGCTATTTACATATTTATATTTTTTTACTTAATGTTCTCGACGGATGAACAAATTTGCACTATGATATTCATTCATCGTGGATATATTGTTCATGAAAAGGTGTCAAGTACGTATTTTCTTAGAAAATATGGTGCAGCCTGCAGAACAAGTAAACCTGGCGTATTAGAATAGAAAGAAAGAATATTATAGGGTACGATGACTTCTGTTTTATATTACTGTTTTAAAGAAAAAAAAAATGTTAATGCTGCTTATTTCATTGAGAGCAATAACAATTCATATGTTAAATATTTTGTAGTACTTGATATTACTGCAGCTTCAATAAAAGAAAGCGCATATCTTTCTTTAACAAAATAAATACACAACAAATAAATACAGAATAAAAATAAAAGATCCTCACAGATGCAATGTATAGATGTTGTCTTTTGGTCAAAAATTTCTATACTGTCTCACAGTGAAATGTTTGTAAAGAAAAACCTCTTTAGTTTTAAAAATATTTTTCTTAGACAAATTTTACATATCAAGTTTATTATCTATGGACGAGTTCACTCAACTGTCAGTGAATGAAGGAAAATAATGAAATTTTAGAAAAATTCAAAATAAACGTCTGTGATGAATTTGTAGGTAGGATATTAAATCCTCCGCTATAGAAAGCAGAGTATTAAATACACTTGACATTGGCGAAATCTAAAAGGAAACGCCATAAACCTAAGAGATAGATAGATAGATGAAATTTTACAAACATAAATAATAATAAATAATATTCTTTAACATATTAATAAGTAGAGATATTAAGGGGTTTAAGCGTTGTTTCGTATTTATATTACAGAAAACGCAGTTAAGTCTTTCATTGTCTGGAGTATTTGATATCGTTATATTTCTTAGTACAGATAGTCTTTAATTTATTATTTTATGATAATGACAGAAATGACGGCGTATTGAGGCTGCTGTGAAGACTCTTAAAGGTACTTTGCGCCACGCATCAAACAGTCTGTTTTGTTTAATGACACTGAATGATGCAAAGTCGATGACATATTCCTGCACAAGCCCATCGATTATAATACAAGCGGAATTTGCATCTGGTAAACGCAATTCTACCATCCACTTACTACAATACTTGGGAATTATTACACAGACAAAAACAGAGCATCCGAACAAAACAGTTATTAACAGCAAGATTGTTTTTCTTTGTAAGTTTGTGTGGCCTGGTGCTACATTGTATGATCGACTTGATTAAATTTCATTTTACAAAGTCGACCGTCAAAGAAAATGAAAGAAACCCGAAAGTTAAATGGACTCACGATTCGCATGTATCTAGGGAACTATTCATGGGAATGAACATCGGTACAAACAGAAAAAAAACGCTCAGTACTGATCAAATAAAAGTAATATGACCGAACGATGGTTGCCCGGCGCTAGATCACGTTTACCAAGAATACCTGATGTTGCATAGTGATTCTATTTTTAGTGCCATTCCCCGCTATAGCCGCGTTCAGTTCAAGTTTAGTAATGGCTATATAGCCTACATTCTTCAAGGGGCAATGCTTTTTAATAACTAACGTCACGATGGTGTAATTAGTAGAATACTTCTAAATCCACAATTTAGAACTTTTTTCTATAGTCATTAAAAACGACTTTAATGTACGTTTTTAGGATAGACTTTTCTTTTTTGCTTAGACGAGTAAACCAGCTTAGAGCTAATCTAATAGTTGCCAACCTAATAGTTAAGTGGTTATCGAAGCCCATAGGCATCAGGACGGCCGGATGCCGCAACCCATCTTGAAATATGAAGTCTAAGTTTTAGTTGTATAGCATAACGACTCTCTCACCCTTCGACCATTTCGAAAAAGCAGCACGATACGATAGCCCTCTCTCTCATCGTGACCGCCGGTAACTACATTCCCGATCCTGCGGATCGAATGGTAAACAGTCGACATCGCCCTACGCACGATATTTCAGATCCTCCTGATCCATTAACGTTGCTTTTAGGTACCTCAAGCACCGGTCACAGTTCTCGTCGAACCCGTGGCTTGCGACGAGGCGCTCGGCGGGCAAATAAACCCATAGACATAGCCCACTGAGTTTGCCGCCGGATCTTCTCAGTTGGTCGCGTTTCCAATCTGGTGGTAAATTTTGCGAAGCACTGCTCTTGCTAGGGTTAGTGTTAGCAACGTCGTCAGGTGTGAGCCCCGTGAGCTCACCTACTTATTAGGTTACGCTAACATAACCTCTCAAGGCTATCACCTTAGGTAGAAAAAAAACTTCTTCACGGCAGAAATAAGCAGGGTGATGGTATGTACCTACCCAACAAAAATAGTAGGTATTACAGAATTTTACGCTAATACAATTAATTTTCTTTCTTTTATTTTGGTTGTAATTGAAACTGAAAAACATAGTAAAACCGGGTAACGACTGATTGACACAAGGCAAGTTTCTGAAATGCTAGTGACGAGACAATCATTGCTTTGTATGAATATCGATTTACAGCTGCTCACGCAAGAAACACTATTTTATTTCGCGATTCTCAAGACGATACTTACTTTTCGATTGACGAAACGAAACGAGTGAGGTGCCTATGCTGGGGCTCAAATTTTACAGAAGCTATGTACCATTTTATTCCAAATAATTCATACTTGACGTGTGTCCACGAAAGCCATACGTCATTTATTTTGTTTGTGTAATTACGCTTTGCTTTGGGTGTGTTTTAATTATGCCTGGAGACTATCTTGATACTGCTTATTACTGCAACGAAGTAGTGTTGATTCGAGTTTTAAGGGTCCGAAAACAGTGATTACAATACAATAAAATTGACTTTTGACCTCGTGTCTCAAGGTGAATCGTTCACAATTGATACTACTGCGGGGATGTGTGAGTCCGTCTGTCTATCAATAGAAAAAGAAACCGTGAACGCGAAGAAACTTTCCACATGTAGGTACTTACCAACATATGAAAAAATCTCTTCACTGAAAGTCAGCTCTTAGGCGAGAAACGTCTCCTCAGTCGTGGCCACGCCGTTATGTTTTCATTTTACTATCATCAAAGCTAGACCAGCACATTGTCCACCTGAGGATGAGTGGTGGCCATCAGTCAGCTAAAGTTAGAGCCAAACCGCTGCATATCGGTTATTGCTAAGTGGTAGGCATGGATATAACATTTTTAGTACAACTAAAATCTCTTTCCTGGCTTGCGATACGATTGTGCTACTTGTGCTTGTTAATCAATTAATGACTTGTAGATAAACTAATTCGGAATTGTGATTTTTTGTACATCGTGCTATGATTACTAACGTATTGCACATACGCAACTGTAGATTAGATTAAACTACAGTCGAAATCAAAATTAATCAGTAAAAACAACGTAACAAAATTTATCCGAATCAAACGATTGTCACACAAATAATTGTAAAAATTTTAATACTTTAAAAAAATTACAAGTACGCTATTTTAAATAATTCCCTTTTTTTATTTCAATTCGGTTAAGGTCTGAACAACAAGCGAACAACAACCAACATGACGTATTTGATATCAATAGAACGCATTGTACCGGGCATTGTTGTCGAATAGATTGATGACCCCGAACCGTACACAATGACGACCACACTTCAATATAAAGATCATGTGCCTCTAGAATCTGCGTAACGATAATTTTGCGATTTATTTACAGTGTTAGAAAATTTAATCGCAGGTTGTAGTTTCCATTAATTTTCGTAATTCATTTAAAATAAGATAACGTTTAAGTGAAATTGAGAAACCAATGCTTGAATTAGACTAGTTTAGTTATTGATTAGAATGAATAATGGTATAACATGATGAACTTCCGTTTATTTCAATGACGACAAAATTATAACTTGCGTAATTAATGGTGGTAGGACCTCTTGTGATTCCGCGCGGGTGGGTACCACCACCCTGCCTATTTCTACCGTGAAGCAGTAATGCGATTCGGTTTGAAGGGTGGGGCAGCCGTTGTAACTATACGTGAGACCTTAGAACTTATATATCAAGGTAGGTGGCGCATTTACGTTGTGGATGTCTATGGGCTCCAGTAACCACTTCACACCAGGTGGACTGTGAGCTCGTCCACCCATCTAAGCAATAAAAAAAAAGGCACTCGACTTTTGTTTTCCTGTGAAGACAGAAACAGAACCTACAGTCCACCATCATGGAGCCTCATTGTAAGCAATAATAATGCCAAAAATTAAGCAGCCAAGCACCTACATATTTCGTATATCACTATTGCCTGAATCAGAAGGATCGCAGGGCGTTTTAGGATTACTGCCTTTCTGCTTAGCCATGAATGATGAACACTCACTTTTAAAACAAGTGCTATATCTATACTAATATATAAATCTACAGTGGTTTTTACGGATGTTCCGTTATAACTACTGAACCATGCATCCGATTGACTTGAAACTTGGTATCC